CAATTTCATTAAATTTCACTAAATGTTGAGGTGTGTGAACAGGCATTCTCTCAGATGTAACTGAATCTACTGGCAACTCCTTTAAAACAGGTGTTTCTTTAGATGACAATAATTCATATCTGTTAGATAGGTTGATTGAGTCAGTGACAACTTGTGATCTGTCTACAAATTTAGCAAAATGTTTAGGCACTACAAAGCTGTCATCAGTAATTTCTGTAAGTTTTTCATCTTTCAGAAGCTGTATTTCATTTTTTAGTTTTTCATTTTGCAGACTTGAATTTTCAGAATCACTTTGAAGTAGTCTTATTATTTCTTTATGAGAGTTAGATTCTTCTGTAAATTTACTTTCCATATATGCAATTTTCTTCTTCAATGCTGCATTCTCTCTTATTAGTTCAGGGTCAGGTAACGGGTATGGTTGAATGGTTTCCATTAGATGTAAGTTCTGTCTTTTTAAGCTGTCGACTTGAGTTTGAAGCAATTTTAATCTCTTATTGAGTGTATGTAGTTCTTCACTTTCAACTACATCTTTTTTATTGTTAGTCCCTCCTGAGGGAGTTTTTTCTATCAGTACATTTACATTGGCAACTGATGCGTTTTCTTTCAAATACATAATTTCTTTGTTTTTATCACTCAGTAACCCTTTTAAAGTATAATTTTCTTCTGATAAATTGTTTAGTTTCAGTTGTAGATTTTGAACTGTTTCCTCTGCCTCAAATTCTAATACTTGAAGTGATGATTCAACTTTTTCCTTTTCAAATTTCAATTGAAGCATGTCCTCGTTGGCTTTATTTAAAAAATTACTTAACTGATGTAATTTATCCTCCAAATCAATTGAGAATTCATTAGAGAAAACCTCTTCAAGCCCCGAGTGTAATATTAACACTGACTTATCATTAGCTTGATTTTGACATAAGCTAGTCTCAGGTGTACTGGATATAACATCTAATATGTCTGCAGAGATAGCACTTTCATTGTGAGTGATGTTATTTGGAGTTTCCAAAGTGTTGCATTTAGTGGGTGATTTTATAACTGATTTGAAATCAAAGTCATCAATATTTAATTTGAGCTTATTTTCATCTATGTATTTTTTGAGTTGACATTTAGATCTGAATATTTTTCCCTTAGGAGAATAGTAGTAAATGTCAACTTTTCCTTTAGTTGTTCCTTTTTTTCGGGTAGTCTGTTTCCTTACCCACCCATCTATATACTATTTATATCTATTTATACTTATTATATCGCATAACTTATTTATTTGCAAATCTACTTCCTTATATTATTATATATTTGTAATCCTCATAAAATTTAGAACAAAGTGGCTATTTTAAAATATTTATAGGCCTATAATTTATACAATTTCATTGAGCGCGAACTTATTTTTTTTTTTTCAATTTTTCCAAAATAATTTTTATTTTTACCTAAAAAAATTTTTTTGAAACAAATATTCCTTAGGTTTTATGTATGATATTGAAGCCCATAATTTTCCAAACAAAATGGTATATAGAACAGTAGAATTAACATTGTTTTAAGCTTCTCAGATCGGTTTTAATAAAACCTTACAAATGCGCCAAAAGTAGGTGGACATTAAGGCCTAAACTATGGACACTTGGAGGGATATTTATACATGTGTGATCCAAAATAGGATAAAAAGTTAGTGAAGTTTTGTGAGCTATAACAGCTGATCAGTTGTTTTGTTTACATTTTTGCTTTTGTGAAAACCAAATATTCTATTAGCCTACTTATCTTATTTAGTTATTCTTATATAGAATGATATTATTGGCTTCAAAAAAAGAATGGTTTTATCATATTGATTTATTAGTAGAGGGCATTTGTGGATCCATCAACGTGTAGTTGAAGAAATTGACGTTTTCCAATTTTTCCGTATTATTGCTAGTAAATCTATACAAATAATTATTTTGTGTACATTATGATTTGTCTATGTAGAGGAATAAATTCTGAACAAAATGCTTATTTTGAATTGTGCAATTCAAATTTACGTTACATGTGAAATGTGTTTGCTTTTGAAATAAAATTAGAAACATTTATAAATTTTCTTTTTTTTACTTTTTTTCTAAATATATACCCTTCTAAAATTGCTTTGTATTACCATTTTTGAATTCTACTGACTATTACGAACAAAATGAATATATGGTTCAATAGTTTATCTCTACATACCTACTAATTTTATACAGATTTTTGAAGAACTCCCTTACAAATTCACCAAAATGAGCGTGCCACTCCACAAAGCCTATACTGAAAATCGGTCTTGCCACTCCTAGGGTTGATATCATACATAAAACATAAGGAATATTTGTTTCAAAAAAATTTGTTAGGTAAAAATAAACATTATTTTAAAAAAATTGAAAAAAAAATAAGTTCGCGCTCAATGAAATTGTATAAATTATAGGCCTATAAATATTAGAAAATAGCCACTTTGTTCTAAATTTTATGAGGATTACAAATATATAATAATATAAGGAAGTAGATTTGCAAATAAATAAGTTATGGGCAAAAAACAGATTTCAGTACATATGTAGCGTTTAGCTAAGAATGCATAGCCTAACCATAGCTAGGAATCTGGCTGATAATTTACATCAATATCACTACCTACTTCTTCAGGATCATCAACCAGCCCTTCAAAATCACTTAAATCTTCTTATAATGCACCCACGTATATCACTACTTTTGATTTTTAACACTAAAACAATGATAAACGTAATAAAACACATCAGTCATCGGTCCGAGGTTAACAAAGCTGTTTACAAATACGCACGTCAGCTGTCTGCTACAATATTTTCGGAACTAAAATGAATAGCGCTTAGAAACAGACCTCTGGAGAAAGCTTAGAATCTAACAAAAAGAACGATACCTAACTCGATCCAGTTCAATCCGATTCAGTCAGTCATAGAGCCTTCGCCGTAAACGATGTTCGTGTGTCGAAAAATCGACAAGTAAGTGACGCTCGGAGGGTTAAGTTAGAACATTAAGTTGTAGCCTCCTACTAGGGTGTAAGTAAACTTTGTAGGTAGTGATGGCAAAATTTCTCAAAACATCGATTAAAAAGGAAATCGATGGCACAAGAACATCGAGTCCTTAACATCAATGTTTTTAAAACATCGATGAGAAAAATAATGTAAAAGAAGGGGGGAAATGCTAGTGACGTCGCAAGTACCTAAGTTAAACGACATTCCAACAACGGAAAACAATAAAACAATTATTCTTTTTTTTTAAGTTTATTTAGGCCTAACTTAACATTGATATTTAAGTTTAAACATTTTGATTTGAAACATTTAAGTTAACAGAAAAATATAAGAATGTTAGATAAGAAGAAATCCATATTAAACTTAAGTTACCTAACTTATATGTTTTATTGGCCTAACAACCGTTTTAACTGAAAATAAATGTTAAACTAACATAAAATAAAAATAACCTCATATTAAATTATAACGTTAGTGTAAAATTGTAAAATAAGCTATGTTAAACTAACATCTAACATATTAGACTAAATGTAAAACAAAATAGGCAAATAAAACAAAATGTAAGCAAATGAATGCCACTGGCCAAGTGACACACGCCCTAGCCTTCTCGGCTATCTGTGCTTGGAGACTGAGGAGTCAAAAACCGGTATTTAAGCTGACGCCAACGATTGCGAACTGATAGCACCTTTGTTAATGAAAATTTCAACCGGAATAAAGTGTGCAATAGTTGATGTAGTAACTACCTTTTTAACCAGTGTGGAAAGTAGCTTTCAATTATAGGCCTACCTTTGGGCATAGACAAAAAGAATGAAATATATACTGTCAGCCGTGCTGCGGTTGCCATGGTTACCATAGGTTCCGGCGCACACCGCTGTAGTTTACGTAGCGCGTACGCCGTAACTACCGTGGTGCTCCAAGCGGTGTGCGCCAGAACCTACGGTAACCGCAGCACAGCTGACGGTCTATATTTAATTCTTTTTGTCTATGCTTTGGGCTATGCCTTATTCATCTATAAAGCTATCTTTGTGCACAGCATATGTTTTTGGCTTGAAACAGTCAGATATTGTATTTGCAAGGGTTCATATGTAGATAGTTAGTTAGTTTTGCCAGCATATCTGGAAAAATGCACACTTAATAATATGCAAACCAACTGCTGTTCTGAATATACAAAGGTTTTAACTGACTACAAGATCCACGTCCGTAGAATGGGTACATATCTAGTAATATGGTACCAGCCCAAGTAGTTAAACTTCTAAAGAACACTGGAGATAACAATGAGCCAGTTAAACTAATAGATAAACCGTTTCTAAAGTTTAAACCACTTTGGAGAAACCGGCCCTTAGAATCAATCTTTGATCAATATTAACATGTACAATTTACACACAGGTACGCTCGTAATATGCATTTGTTTGAACCTATACCAAAAGGCATAATAATCCAAATGTACAAACAAACAAATATTACATTTAATAGGCCAACGTGTTTTGTATTACTTTTTTATTTAAATTCAAGTTTTATTCAAACTAAGTAGGCTAAAAAGTAAAAATTTTTATGGTTAGAAGTTTAAGAAAATTGTTTGAAAAATAAACAAGAAATTGTTTTAAACAAAGTTTATAATGTAGGTTCTCACATTACAGTATTTTAAAACCAAAATACAACATATTAAAGAATTACATGATCCTTATTAGTTACCATTAAAATGTACAACAGATTGCCTTTAACTTCAGTTTTCTGGCCGATTTCATCTCCTCCTTTATAGGCCATCAGGATAATAGGCAACAAGAATGATTGGAGTCCTGATTTTCAAGTTCTACTGTATTCTGTTAAAGGGGAGGTGTTCAATTTACAGTCGGGCCTAATTTTAAAATCCTAACCAATTTCGAAATTTTTTAAATGTGGACCACTTCTAATTTCTTGTTGGTGTCTTATCTATCATGTTCGAGGGAGGAATACAAATTCATTATATTGGTTACATTTATTCTTACTAACGTCTTTGATAATAATATAATCCTCATGTTTCAGGTCTCCGCACAGTGTTGATAAGCACATGGGTCACATAACTTAGAAACCGTGCAGCATCCAATATGGAACCAGACAGAGGAAGAGGAAAGAGAGGCGGAGGAAAGCCTTTTAGAGGAAACGCTGGAAGGCAAAGACATTTTGGAGGAAACAAGAACAAAAATGCACCCAATGTTAATCAACATCCGAATCCTAATCAGTTCAGAGAAGGCATGGGGCCAAATCAGCCACCACCATTTACAGGACACGCACCTCCTGCTATGGATCCCAGGAGATTCCAACAACCCTTTGCACCTCCGACATACCCTCCGCAATTCGGAAATCCTCCCCCACGATTTCCTCAACAGTTTTCTCCCCCTCCTCCACAATTCCATCAGCAGTTCTCTCCTCACCAACCACCTACTCATAGACCAGAATACAGTCCGCATCATGGTTTCTATCAAAATCCTGTGGGAGGTTCCCATCCAGTATTTAATGAAAACAGAAGAAATGTTCACAGTTTTAACCAGGAATCACCGCAAATGCGCCCAGATGGCCTGTCGAGGCCACCTTCAAATTTTGACTTTAGTCAACCAGCAGATCCTTACAATCCTGAACTACCATATCCAAAGACAGATGAAAGATCCAAACAGGAAAATAACCAGGGGCGTGCCCAGAGGGAAAAACGAGCCCCAAGGTTTAATGTTCCAAGAGATCGTAGATCAGGAACACCTAGTGGACACACTTGGAACTCTGAAACTAATTTACACCGTGTGAACAGTGTAGAAAGCTTAAAATCAGAAAAGAGTGTAAATCTTGATACGAGTAACCAGAAGTCCCAGAATAGAGGTGGTAGAAAGAGGAGGGACCCTCGGAATAGTAATAACCAAACACCCAACAATATGTTTAGTAACCCACCTGAAATGGGTGCAGACATGAGTGACAACTGGCAGCATATCAGACGTGCATCCCAAAGTAATGATATAGATAATATCTCAAATTATTCTGGATACAGTCAGAAAAGCGAAACACACTTTAGAGGAAGGGGAAACATGAGAGCAAGAGGACGAGGTAGGGGCAATGGAGCAAGGGCAAATAACTTTGAAAGACCACAGAGTAGAAATTCTTCAACTGGTGATTTTGTCAATGATTTTGAAAATTTGAATCTAACCATGGAATCAGGTCTTGGAAATAAGCAATCAAGAAACATACAGAAAAACCGAAGAGGACGAGGAAAGAATCAGGATTCCAAAGATAATAAGTCAGATCATAACGAAGGTGGTGAAAACATTAGGCTTTCTTTGAGTGATGAAGATAATACAAATCTAAGCAGCGATACACCCACCGATTCAAACAAGAGTGAGAGTAACCAAACGGTTGGAAATGACAATATAGAAAGTGGGGCTCAGCAACAAAAAGACAAGTCAAAGAAAAATCAACGCAAATCAAAAAACAAAAATAATACAGCTCAAATGAAGTCTAATGAACAAGTATCAAACATTACAGTCGAACAACTTGAAAATTTAAAGAAGCAAGACCCCTTGATAATCATCGAAATATTATCTGCCAAAGAAAGTGAATTCGGATCAATATTTCAGGACACTTTGGAACCAGACATTTTGATTTTGGCAGTTGAAGTATTAAGTAAAATCTGTGAATCACCCTCCAGTCAAATGAGAGCTGAAGTATTGAGGCAGGCCAGTTTGCCTTCTTTTGCAGATCAGTTGTTCACTTGTGTTACAGAGTTTCCCTATCTCGAAGACGAGAAAATGCTACAACAAGTAAATCAGTTTTTTGAAAACACTATTTTGTTTTACGAAACATTGGCGGATTTCATGCCTAGCGCTGTGAGAATGTGGCATAATCATGTAGTGGAAGTACAAAAGTCTTTAAAAATAATGACAAAAAATCCCAAGATTGAATTAAACTGCAACCTTGTTAGCATGGCAAAAAATCTCCTGAATGAAATAGGTCAAAACCTGAAGGAAGATGTGGAAAAACCAAAAGAATCAAGAAATGAGAAGAAAAAAGAAAAATATTTTCCTGAACCGGTTGGAAATTTTAGAACTGTATCTCTTTACCCACGACCAGAAGATGTGTATGAAGAACAGCCTTTCCTGTACCCAAACATAATCCAAGGTCCATATCAAAGTGTGGAACATTATCTTGACATACATTTTAAACTTCTCAGAGAAGATTTCATGAGCCCAATCCGCCAAGCAATGAGAGTTTATAAAAAGCAATGCAACACCAAAGACCGATTCAAAAGAGTAGATAATGTCCGAATTTACAGAAAAGTAAAATTCCTTCACTCCAAAACTGTACTCGACACTGTTGGTTATGAGGTTTGTTTTGACGTTGATAAAAAAATCAACAGAGTGAATTGGGAATTCTCTAATAGATTTATGTATGGATCTCTACTCTTATTTACTAATGACAATTTTGATTCATTCTTTTTGGCCACTGTTGCCAATAGAAATGTAAAGGAATTGCAGGACAAGCTTGTTACAGTAGAACTGGTTCAGAATCCAGAAAATGTAAAATCCATCCTGGGAAAAGAGTTTATTATGGCTGAAAGTGAAGCTTATTTCAATCCCTATTTCCACGTACTCAAAGCGTTGCAGAGGTTCAACGAAACTAATTTTCCTCTCGGCAAGTACATTGTCGAGGTTAGCACAGAAACAGAGCCTCCAAGATATTTGGGTTTTGATGACCAATATGTAATCAATGGGCTTGGACAGACTTTTGGGTGCAGAGTTTTGGATTACAGGGATTGGCCCACACCCGAGCAACTAGGATTGGACCCTTCTCAATATGGGGCCTTCAGGGCTGCTCTTACCAACGATCTCACCGTCATTCAAGGTCCTCCAGGAACTGGGAAAACATTCTTAGGTTTAAAAATCGCTCATGCACTGCTCAAGAATGCTCATGTATGGAATGAGAATAGCACACCTATATTCGTTGTTTGTTTTACCAACCACGCTTTGGACCAGTTCTTGGAGGGACTTCTCCCTGTCACTACTAAACTCGTAAGAATCGGTGGAAAGAGCAAAGGTAGTGAACTTGATAAATTTAATATCCGTGAAAGAAGAAGAGAACACAGTTACTACAAGAAAGCTCAAGGAAGAGAAATCAGGGACTTGAAACTGAAAATGTCTACCGTTTTCAAAGACATACAAGTCTACCAGTCCAATTTAAGAGCTTTAGAACACACTACTGGTGTTGTTTCTTTGGCCACTTTGAAACTTGTGATGGGCGATGAACAAAGAAACTACTTCAGTGGGGACGAAGACTTCTTAGATTGGCTCCTGGAAGGGGTAGCAGGGTCCAAGGAAAAAGACAAAGTTAAAATCACCATCACAGCTGACAGAGGAGTAGTAAGGGAAGCTCCAAAAGTGGATCCTCTCGTAGCCGATGCTGAAGATTTGAGGGTCAAGCAAGCATTCTTTGATACAATCGATCTAGACCTGAATGTTGGTCCGTCAGAAGACACTGTGATTGTACAGTTTGCTTGTGTCTTGGACAATTTGGCTAAAAAATATGACCAACTGTCACAACAGCTTGGTGGCAAAAACAAATTGCACAGATCTCAGCTTTTACAAATCAGTGAAACAAAAAATAGCTTAGGTTTGACCATCACACACCTGAGGAAAGAACTCGTGGAGGCTAAAAAATGCCCCCGATCTGTTACTGAAAAGTTTAACCTACAGGAGCAAAGATATTTACGAGGTCTCAAGCCAGACGAAAGATGGAGGCTGTATCATTCTTGGATAGAAATATTGCGTGACGGACTCACCGTCACTCTGGGACAGAAAGATACAGAATACAAGGATTATTCTTATCGGTATGAGCAGATGCGGCAGAGCGATGATTTGCAGATTTTGAGAACAGCCAATGTGGTTGGAACAACGACAACTTTGGCGGCCAAGTTCCAGCCGATGTTCGAAGCTCTTGCACCCAGAATAGGTAATTGATGTAATTGATTGTAGCATTGTTGTAAGTTTATTTCATAAAACAATTAATGCAAGCGGGATGTATGCCTAACACTTAGACAAAATCAATTTATTTTTAGCTTCTAACTTTTTTCAGGAGAAGATATCTTGGTAAATATTGTTTGTTTGTGCAATGTCATGATAAGGATTCCTCTAACTCTGTAGGTTTAATATTAGGTGAATGGATAGTGAATAAGTATCCATTATATTTTGATCATGTTGGTGCTTTTAAAGATAAATATGTACTACTATCAATGATATAAATAATTATTTGATAATATTAAAAGGCGAACTTTGAAAATCACATAGCTGGGATAAAGTTGGTTTTGAAAACTGATAAGTTCATCAACAGGTTTTTAGTTATAGAAATCTATACTTTTAAAATTCAAGCAGCAATTATAACTAAAACTACTAAATGAATTTTTCTTCCAAGCTTTAGCAGTAAGCTCTTCTAATTCATAATTTATCTCAACAGTGATTGTAGAAGAGGCCGCTGAAGTTCTAGAAGCGCATATTATTGCATCCTTATCAAAAAGCTGTGAACACTTGATACTTATTGGTGAGTAGATAAAGTAAAATTTATCTATATCTGTTATTAGATAAGTGCACTGATTGTAAAACTTGTTTCATACCCAAGGTTTTGTCAAAGGTTTTCTAATCAATATCTGGGTTGATTTTTACAAGTTATAAAATCTTCAGTTTGTTTTTACTTCTTACAAAATATTCTCAACATTCCTGGTTGTCTAATTGTTTTACCAGTAAATTGTGTGAAAAATTAACCTAATTATTTCATCAAGTAAATTGACAACTGCATAAAACTATTTCATATTATTCTTTCAAAGAATGTTTTTATACGAGACCATCATAAGGAAGAAACATATTGCCTTTAACTTTGGAATTTAGTATTAGTAGATCTTTGAAATGTTCTCAATAGCCAACTAATTTTGACTGAAAGCTTAATTTAATGTTTCATGGTTACTTGAAAAGAACTGGTCTTATTGGACCAAAATAAAAGACTCGGGTCTTCAGAAACATGAAACTGATCTATAAGACTTAATTTTGATATGAAAACTACTGAATTGTTTGACAACACCTAAATGCTTGGTTTCATGTATGTTGATTCCTAGCGTTTTAATACAACAGTAGATCTATTGAATTTATCGGTCAATATTTATTGATTTTTCCCTCCTATAAAATCAATAGTTTAAATTTGTTTACAGTATTTTACGTGCTTTTATTGTTGTCCGTTTGACCGACCTCTTAGGTTATTCACACAATGCTCGGACCCAAGTCGGATCAATTAACAACGTTTCTATATGAATTTTTCTAAGGGAACAGACAAAAGTTTCAAGCTATCAAGGTCTGAATCAGAGAGTTTCTACTGTCGCTGAAATTGTCCAGGTGATCACAAACAGCTGCGACCAAGCGTGGCGGAAACACGAATGGCTCGGCAGTACCACCTGGACGTCTCGTTGTTTGAACGGTTGGTGCTGAACGACATGGCCTGTCACACGCTGACTCTGCAGCATCGGATGCGGCCGGAGATCTCTAAACAGCTGGTGCCGACCATCTACCCGCTGCTGAGAGACGATCCTAGCGTCCTGGACCGACCAAGCATCCGAGGAATGGACAAGAACGTCTTCTTTATGACTCACAACCACTTTGAGGATGAGGTAGGTGATTTTGTTTCAACAGAAATTCCAATTGTTCATATTGTATAATCCTGTGGTTAAATATTATAGTTAGCTGAATGATGGGGTTAGCAATGTGAGAGTTTTAGATGCAGGGTGTCTAGTAGTCGGGAAAATCGGGAAAGTCGGGAATTAGTATTGAATTTCAAAATGGTCTTGAAAAGTCGGGATTTAGTCTTAAATTTGATTTCAAAGTCGGGAATTTTCATGATTTTGCCGCGATCGTCGTCTTGCGTTTACGTAACCGCAAAAGCCAATGATGATGTCTACACGGCCTCGGGAAATGTTCACGATTTTTCCGCGATAGTGGACGACGACGATGACGTTTTCCGAAACCACGAGAGACGACGATGACGTTTCTGTGACAGCGGGAGACGACGATGACGTTTCTGTGATAGCGGGAGACGACGATGACGTTTCTGTGACAGCGGGAGACTACGATGACGTTTCTGTGACAGCGGGAGACTACGATGACGTTTCCGTGACCGCGGGAGACGACGATGACGTTTCCGTGCCCGCGAGAGACGACAATGATGCCTACACGGCCGCGGGAAAGGTTCATGATTTTGGCGTGATCGCGGACGACGACGATAACGTTTCCGTGACCGTGGGAGATGACGGTGATGTCCAAACAGCCGCGGGAAATGTTCATGATTTTGCCGCGATCGCGGACGACGACGATGGCGTTTCCGTGACTGCGGGAGACGACGATGACGTTTCCGTGACCGCGGGAGACGACGATGATATCTGCTCGGCCGTGGGAAATGTTCATGATTTTGTCACGATCGCGGACGACGACGATGACATTCCGTGACCGCGGGAGATGACGATGACGTTTCCGTGACCGCGGGAGACGACGATGATGTCTACACGGCCGCCGGAAATGTTCATGATTTTGCCGTGATCGCGGACGATTACGATAACGTTTCCGTGACCGCGGGAGATGACGGTGATGTCTAAACAGCCGCGGGAAATGTTCATGATTTTGCCGCGATCGCGGACGACGACGATGACGTTTCCGTGACCGCAGGAGACGACGATGATATCTGCTTTGGCCACGGGAAATGTTTATGATTTTGTCACGATCGCGGACGACGACGATGACGTTTCCGTGACCGTGGGAGATGACGATGACGTTTCTGTGACCGCGGGAGATGACGATGAGGTCTACACGGCCGCGGGAAATGTCCATGATTTTGCCGTGATCGCGGACGATGACGATAACATTTCCGTGACCGCGGGAGATGACGGTGATGTCTGAACAGCCGCGGGAAATGTTCATGCTTTTGCCGCGATCGCGGACGACGACGATGACGTTTCCGTGACCGCGGGAGACGACGATGATATCTGTTCGGCCGCGGGAAATGTTATTGATTTTGCCGCGATCGAGGGAGATGACGATGACGTTTCCGTGACCGCGGGAGACGACGATGACGTTTCCGTGACCGCGGGAGACGACGATGATATCTGCTCGGCCGCGGGAAATGTTCATGATTTTGTTGCGATCGCGGACGACGACGATGACGTTTCCGTGACCGCGGGAGATGACGATGACGTTTCCGTAACCGCGTGAGATGACGATGACGTTTCCGTGACCGCGGGAGACGACGATGATGTCTACACGACCGTGGGAAAGGTTTATGATTTTTCCGCGATCGCGGACGATGACGATGACGTTTCTGAGACCTCGGGAGACGACGATGATGTCATTGATGTCTACAAGGCCGCAGGAAATGTTTATGATTTTGCCGTGATCGCGGACGACGTCGATCACGTTTCTGTAACCGCTGCAGTCAATGATGATGTCTCAACGTACAGTACGTGGAAGATTTCATGATAAAAAAAAACAAATTTGCTAGTTAGAACTTTTGATTGCTGCATTATTTCTTTACTTGAAAACACCACATTGTCATAATACTACTTTATGACAAAGACAGGGGTTGGTGTAGTATTATTCAGAAAATTTTGTTAAGCTTTAAAAATTGGTATCGGTATCAAGAATCGAGAATCGATACATTTCAGTATCAACACCCACTAATTGTTGAAAAAACTAGTCTTGAATAATCTGGAATTAGTCTTGAAAAGTCTGGAATTAGTCTTGAATTTTAGAATGGAAATAAACTAGACACCCTGTAGATGGTTTGAACTTACAAATTAAAAGGTTAAGTTTAAACTACCAGATTATTCACATGTGGCTCTTCAGCCATCACCAGATCGTCGTATAAGAACCTGAGGTGTTTCAAGGTTGGGAAAAAATACTCATTAACACATTATCTTACTAGTATTATAAATGTGAAAGTTTGTGTGTTTGAAGTTCAATCACACATTAACTACTGATCAGATTGAGCTGAAATTTGGTATGATGATGGCTTACATTCTCGATTAATATATAGACATAGACATACTCTTATGTCAAAGATCCTTTCAGGCTCCGCCCCAGTGGCTTTGGAGATTCCTATGCTAACCTTATCAGTATCTATATATTAATAGTTCATATTTAAAATGAATTAAAGAATTTTGCCAGCTTTTTTAACTACACAAGTTAGTTGGTTCTAAGATATTCAAAAGTTATAGGGTTTACCAATAGGGTGCAGCACTAATTATAATTTTTTTTCATTTACGACAACCGCTAATTTTTAACCAACCAGCAATAAAAGCTGTGATACACAATGGGAACTGGCAAAATAGGAGTGTTTACAGTTATGCTTATGTTTTTGTTTTTTAAATAATTTGTGATATTGTGCGAATATTTGGTAATTTTCTTTTTTCTGTTGTTTAGGTACAGTGGTAGAACATTATTATGGCTATGGTAGATGTGTCATACTATAGCATACTGTAAATTAAAAGAACTAAATTTTCTCAAACCTTGTCCTTTGCCATTGCAAACACAAAGCACGAGTATAACCGCAATAAGCATTTTCATACTGATTCGCCAACCCCGTATGAAAGAGGGGTACTCTGCTAGTACATCATATAGAAACAAAAAACGTCGGCTTTAAATAGTTTTTAAACAGGCCTATTGTATTGTGACGCGAGCACAGTCAGAACGGTTTGGAGGCATGCAACAACACAGTACCCGCAAGGCAAAAACAGCAAAATTAAACGTTTTTATATGTAAAACACCTGATCCGGAAACACCATGAAAAAGAATGAACATATAAAGTTTTAACACTTTGGTAATCTAAAGACCGCCAGTTTATATTCTGAGAAAACTTATTTTTCTAAGCACAATTAATTATTCCTAAGTTATAATCAAAGTAAAGAACATCATCAGCTGATTCACTCGTTAATATAGACATTGGTCAAGTTAGTTTCTCATATATTGTACTGGTTCATTAAGATATATTCCTAAAGTCTGGACCACATAAGTTTGCAGTTGGTGGCAGCCAAATTCAAGACAAGGCTAGTGCGACGTTGCCACATCGCCAATGACAACACAAATTAAAATATTCAAGGCAATATTTTCAAATCAGCTGGTATTATAAGATTTGACAACACCACGCCGTTCTCATTGGTTCATTCAACACCATATGGTAAATAGGCTCCTCCCTCAACTGCAAACTTATGTGGTCCCGACTTTAGTAATCAAAATTATATAAATTAATTGCTACAAACCCCAGTTAAGCATTTCGGTTGAGTTTTTCAGGTTTTCACTTAGTACTTTAGACATATCCAGCCATCCAGCCGACATAATACTCCTGTGTTTTTTATAGGTGGTTGAAATAACAAGCAAACGCAACAGGTTTGAAGCTGAAATCTTACTGAATCTTGCCAAATATCTTGTGCAACAGGGCTACAAACCTCAAGATATAACAATTCTGGCCACATACAAGGGTCAGATGTACCACATGAAAAGTGTAAGTCGACGATTTGTAAAATGTTTTTTTATACATCCTTAATATAAATTAGGGTAATTTTTGCCCTCTCACATGGTAAAAGCAATTGATCATCTAGATTCTTTGGATGTCAAGTCCTTGTCTATTTATGAAACAGTGAAGATTCTTGGTGTCAAATTTGACAGGCAACTAAATTTCCAAACTTGTCCATCTGTAAATCATTGTATAATGTGTAGTTTTGGAGTAACTTAAGCTGTAGTCCATTAGAACTAAATTCTCATGCTGTTCGCTCCTCCAATCTTAAAGAGTAGATTACAATATCAATACCAAATACTTAGTACATTTTAGACAGTACTAAGTCATCAGTTCAATTTGTATGCTCTCAGGTCATCAAGAATAATTGTTTCACAATTAATTATTTAACAATTTGATGATAAAATATATCATTTTTAAATTGTGTTTTATAGCCTGGCACTAATTTGTTAACTAATATATTTGCTTGTATAATGTAGATCCCCCTATTTGGACAACCTTAAGACAAATCTTTGAAAGACCGAACTGAAAAAGCAAAAAAATATGAATATAAATTATACAAAAATGAATAGATAACTTCAGCCACAAATTATGTGTGCAGTACTACAATACCCTACTGCCCTAAACAATAAGGTAAACCCAAAACAGTGATGGGCGAACTTGTTTATTAACATGGCTGTGGACGAAGCTAAGTTCCGAGTCCTTATTGACCATCCAATAATATGAAGTTCGAGTTTCAAATGAGAGAGAGAGAGTCCTAAGTAAAGTTTGAGAAGTCAGTTTACTTCATATTTGATCAGATTTTAGTAGTCTACTAGTTTGAAAAGATTTTGATTGTAAGTTTAAGTAATTAAATATTTGTCAGTGATATAAACATTTACTTCTTATTATGTTTTTTCACTTCCATCAGTTAATTTTTGAACTATTCACACAAACCAGACTCCCTGGAATCATTTCCAAAACTCTAGATTCTATGCAACCTTTTCATAGGAAATCAAGAACATGACCGGATTTCCTAAAGGGATACAGATCACAGTCGTGGACAACTTCCAAGGCGAGGAAAATAAAATCATCCTCCTCTCTATGGTGCGAAGCAACGCAGTCAACAAGATTGGGTTTTTGGAAATTGAGAATCGGATCTGTGTGGCTCTGTCTAGAGCTAGAGACGGTCTTTATATCGTGGGCAATATGAATTGTCTGGTGGCCAACTCAGACATTTGGGCCAGAATCAGAAACAGTCTGACCGTACAGCAAAGTTATGGTGAGTACGTCAGTAGTGAGGTCTAAAAAAATACTCGTGTTAAAACCGGAATGAAGGAGACTATTTAACCCCCATTTAACTCATTTTTGAAGGTTAATCAACGCTATTCAAAGCCTCTTTTGGTTTGGAATGATCACAAACGTTTTTTTATGTGATATTAATTACTGATCAATTGTCTCACAAATCTATCATATAAAAACATTTACAAAATTATTGTACACTCCCAAAAATCCACTCATGAAGAATCAGAATTAAAAAATCTACAATGCAAGTATCTTATACAGCAGCGACCAAGATGTATGTACAGGAGGACCCATCATCTCGTGGGCAGACTATAGTGTTGCCTTTGGTTACTTCACCGATCACCGAGTTACCGATTACAATTGATGAGTTGTTAAGTCATATTTTGTGTGTTTTAATTTTTTCTCATTACCAGGCCTATACACTGGATCTACAATATTATTTTCTAAATGCTAAATACACTGTGCGTAACAAGTCAAAAGTGTCTGCACTGCATTTTAAACGATTTATCATTACCTTTATTAAACTATACAAAAGTTAATGTTAGGTTAGGTTTGAACTCAGCCACTCATAATCACGAATAATTGGAAGAATACTTTAATTGTTTTCTGAACTTTATCTTCACAGCGGTTAACACGACAATGATTCACGCCAAGTAAAGCCCCCACACCCCACGCCACGCCACGACGGAAGGTTCCTGTTGTTTATCCAATTTTCAAATGATTTAACATTTTTGTTATGATTTCACTTCAGTTAACCTTTGGATTCGCAAAATTTAGTAGCCTATAGATATGAACTGATTATCGGGGTGCAGTTAAAAGGTTTTTTTGGTAAAGTGTAGGACTTAAATCTTCCATACCATTCACCTCTTCCTTTTTTCAGTTGACATTACAGTTTGCCCACAGCATTAAATATGTCTCAATTTTAATTTATGTTAAGTTTTTTGAGTGGTGTAAGTTATATTTTATTTTAAGTCAAGGTGTACAGGATTGTTGTTGAAAATACAACACCTTGTTTGTAGGACCAGCACTATTCTTGCGATGTCAGATTCATCAAGAGCAGAAGACAATGATACAATCAGCAAAAGACTTCAGTAAGGTATTGAAGTTTGATTTATTACCTGTACATTATGTAATAGTTCCCAAATTTATGGTTAGGGCTTATAACATTTGCCTTTCCAAAACTACGTTTGGCAATAACTGAAAATATAACATTGTTACCTCTAATTTAAATAGTTGACGTAATAAGTAGTAAAAAAAACTTTCATTTTAGAAACTTTAAACCAATGAGTTGGCGAAGCTATAATTAATGTTTACCAAATCCTGTTTATCTTGATTGAATGTTAAGAATTTTAATGTGCTGGATATTTTTCTCACAAGAAGTCTATTTCTGTAATTGAATTTTAAATGTGTCACTTAGACATGTGAGCACTCTAAATTAACAAGTAACTACGTTTAGTTTCATTTGGAATATTTAGGTTTGGAATTATGAACTTCGATTTAATATAACTTATTAGTTGGTCGGTTTGTAATCTCAGTTGTCGGTTTTACTGGTTTTTAGCGGAATCCTAAGATTAATGGGAAATATAGGTGACCCTGAATAACTTTTCCATAATCATTAACACATTCGATGCGGGGGGTCCACGGGTGGGGTAGCGTGCATTGCATTGTTTGCCGGATCAGTGTGGTTCAGCCATTGTCGGGGAACGTTGTAATCTTTACCAGCCTGTAGCTTATAATGCGAGCTTTATTCTGGTGTAGGTTGGTACAAAAATTGCCCGTAAAATCCCTTCTGGCAATGCTTTTGTCCCGTTTTCGGGGATTTTTTCAGTTCGAGCCGTATTACAAAGACTCTGGTTATTGATCCAGGCAGTGCTGCTACCTTTGAGTGTTTCAGTAAACTACGTCCACTTTCGGAGTAATGCAGAACAATCACCACTGCTCTTTTGTGATTCGTCTTACTGAGATATTTCAATACCAATAGCGATCGCTGATTCAGTTAGCGCGTCGGGGCTCCGCCCGGGCCTCGCCGCCATTGGCGAGCGCCTGTTTAAAGGTTTTCAGCAGCGAATGTGTTAAAGACGATGTTAATGTCTACAAGACCACTGGACCATGATGATGTCCAAGAATTTATGGGAAATGTAGATTTTGGTTTATTGGTTGCTTCGCAATATTTTCCCCACAGTCCAGTAACTCTTTAGCAATTGCGGGGAATAGAAACATAGTGTAATAGTGGGCGACGATGATGTCTTTGTGAGGTGAGAAATTAAGGCTTTCGCTGTGATTAAGGAGGACAATTGTAACGTTTCCATGACCATGAAAGATGATGTTGATGTCAACCAGACCGTGGGAGATTTTCAGGATTGTGATTGCGGAAGACAATGATGATTTTTACATGACAGTGGTAGGTATTCAGGATTTTGATGTGACCGTGAAAGATGATGATGTCTACAAAACCAAGGTAGATATTCATGATTCTACTGCGGTTATAGAAGTCAATGTGGATGTCTTTGCGATCATAAGAGAAGTTCGAAAATTTGCCGTGATCACAGTTAATATTTATGATGATATTGATAAATGTAATGTGTAGAAAATTTACGGATACCAAATCTCAATACTGATTATCTATTGGCAACTATGCACACGTTAAAACATCACATAGCCATAATGTTTGTTTTAGTAATTAATGCAACTATTGTTTCTGTATTGAATAAATAAAATTATTAATTTTGTTGATTCAAGGATTATCACATACATTTATCATTGGTTATTTATTAGTGTCACTAAAGTTTTACCTGCTATTTCTGCCACAACATAAACCTAATCTCAGCAGTAAACTTTAAATAAAGAAAATGATCATAAGTGTGGCTTATGCTAAAATTTAAGTGAGTGATATTTTTTACAACCAAGAGTTGGTAAAACAAAAGTCAGACCAATAAAAATTGCAATTGACACATAACTACTTATTAGTTAAGTAATGCATCATACGAATCAAGGTTTAAATTAAAAAGGTTTTTCAAAAAGATAGTTTGAATTCAGCACAATTGTCGATCACTGTGCAATGTTGTGATTTTTAGGTATCAGAGGGAGGGTGCAGCCTTCTATGTGGTCAGCCTCTGGCTTGTGGTCACTCATGCAAGTCCATGTGTCATGTGGAGCAAGACTACCACAAGAGATACAAGTGTAAGGAGGCGTGCAGCAAGTAAGTCATGGTCAACTATCTTTGTTACGGGTAACTCACCTTTTGTTTAGCAATATGCTTGCTAAAGATAACGATTTAAATCATAATGAATCATTAATTAATTCTAACAAAAAGGTCAACGTTAGATATTGACTTGGGTTTGAACCGGTTCCTTCCTTTCAAAATTGGCGTTTTAATGAAATAAAAATCAAATCAGTTAGAGCGAATCTATTTTGGGAACAGGCAACCAGCTCAAATTGTTGCTACAAAATATTGTATGCTGGACAATCTCATGTTCAAGATAACTAAAATCGTTACCTACTAAAGATTGTACGTTTAAACTTTGTCATCCCCTCTAAACTCAGTGAAATTTTGTCTGATCAACTGATACACACGCTGTTAAAGCATCGTCACTTATTGGGCCTTAGTGTTACATAACCTTAACATGTGCCTTTGTTAGTTGATGTTAGCTGCGTTACTTTTATACTTCATCTTACTTTCATCTAGGGATGGGCGAGTAGTGTTTTTTTGAGTCGAGTCGAGTAATTAGCCCTAATACTCGAGTATCGAGTCGAGTCGAGTCGAGTAGTTCACGAGAAAATCAACAATTTTATTTTACATATATTCCATCTTCATTTTTACGAACAAAGCATTTCTCAATTCACCAAAAATAGACCTGGTTAAAAACTTTTATACCATATAAAAAACACAATATGTATGTGTATCAAACTTATATTTTGGTGTTAAAAGTTTATTATTAATTGCAAAAAAATTCCAAAATGTGGAACTAAGTGTTTATTTTAAAATAGGCCTACTGTAAATGTTTGAATTTGACTAAAGCATGAGATCTAATAAAGTTTCCTCTAATTTATAAATAGGCTTATAAGTATTTATCTAAGTCATTTCTCAGTTTTTGTATTTATTTGAAATTCCATGAAATTGTCTTAGTTAACTCATTAGTTTATAATTTTTTTTTTTAATTACGTACCTAGCCTACATCTTGGTCTACAAATACTCATTGTAAGGTAAGTTTTTCCCCCAAGTGAGTAAAAACTAACTTCAATTCAATCAATTCAATTCAAAACTACTTTATTCGTTTCCTGTACATAATACCTATATAATGACATTTTCTCACTAATTATATATCTTCAAAATTTGTTTAACTATGAAAAAGTCACCAAGTCTAGCTGAAAACATAATCATAAACGAGGATATTTTTGAAATACAGAATAACTAATCAAACAAAATTTTTTAACACTTTTATTTCTCAACTTTTTTCCTTGAAAATGTCAACAGTTTTTCACTTATTTTTAATAAAGATTATCACTTATAATTGTTTTAAATAAGTCCAGATGTGTGAACTTGAAGAGCAGACAAGAGACATACGTCACTGCCACAAAAACTCTTCTCTACTGTGAATGAATGAACTGTTTATTGTGTGAAGCCCCGCCCACCGTCTAACGGGACATGGGGGAGGAAAAGAGAAAGTTTGGCAGAATTTGCGGTACTTATGGATTAAACGGAGGCCACATTTTGTCAGCGCGCTGCGGCGGTTAGTTAGGTTGGGTTATCATAATAGAAAGTATAACTCGTCTGGTATCGTTCGAATCATAACGAAGCGAGGAAAGTCCTACACACATAATATTTACGATAACCCAACCTAACATAACCGCCGCAGCGCGCTGACAAAATGTGGCCTCCGTTTAATCCATAAGTACCGAATTTGCCCTTGTTCTAAAGCCTGGTTCACATGCCCTCCATCACCCTCGGCCTCAGTCGCTTGCAGATTTCCATTACACAAGAGTGTTAATTATTTTGAAATACTGTAAATGTTTGAATTTGACTATGATGAGATCTAATAAAGTTTCCTCTAATTTATAAATAGGCTTAACTTTTTAAGTATTAATCTAAGTCATTTGTCAGTTTTTGTATTTCTTTTTAAAAGCAATTGCAGTTATACCTACATTAAAAAAATTACAAACATCTTTGCCTACAAATACATTTTGTAAGGAGAGTCTTTTCTCTAGTGAGTAAAAACGATCGTGGATCGTGGTCAAGGAATGAACTGTGCTAAAACAGCACATTGTCAATGTTTACAAAGTATTTTGACTGAAACCTGAACCCCTGGTATTTTTTAAAGACATTGCATAATAGCCTAAGTCGACGTCTGTGGAGAAAAGTATGTTTTACTTTTAGCCTACAAAAAAGATTATGTTTTGGGACTAAAATCTCCAAAAGACCAAAAGAGTGCTTTTAACAAACATTTCATAGTTTTATTTAGCAACAAAAGTGTTTGACTATGTTCCCGATTATACCAAGAACAAGGTTCGGCAGAGTGGATTCACTGTGAACCGGCCTGCCTGGCCCTTATGCACGACGTCACTATAACCTCCGTGTAGGGGTGTCAACAATGGATCGGAACAATTGAAGTTTTGAACCTGTCTGTAACCTAGTTGTTTATACTTAGGCCTAAATACTCATTATTTATAAACAAACACGTCCTACATATCGGATCTCGAATCACGATATTTATCGATACCCTTTCCACCCACAATAAAACATTAAACAATGTCAAAAGCAATCGTCATTTGCTCCATTGAAACACGAAAGTCGATTGGCTGACATGGTAGTACACTGACGCCTCCTGACCAATGAGAACTGTTGTTACATACTTTTGTCAACATTCACCAATCGTTTTAACATTACAAAATCGACACGGGCTAAGGCTTATAATATTTTTCAATAAATACTTTATGTTATAGTAGCACTTAAAACTTCACTAAACTCTTTAATCATAGTACAGATCAAAATATGGATCTACTTTTTGGCGCAATTAAAGCAAGCCTAACCATACGACGATGTTAAAGTTTAATGGTTGAATATAATTTTTCTAATGATGCGTATAATCAATGCAGGGATTATTAAACTGAAAATTTCAACGTGTTTAGGTTATTTATTTTGTACTAAAAATAAGAATAATACATCTAAATGTCTGACTTATTGATACAGACATTGTTTAGTATAATTAATTTCGTGTTGGCAGAACATTCGCGCGCCGGTTGTCTCTTGAGTTGAGTCTGACATCTTGAAATGTAGATTCGTAGATTGTGTTGTGCAATGCTGAAGCTAAACAATGTCACCGGCACCGTCGCTGTTTTGAACTAGATAGTTTCTAAGTTGGCTATGAAAATTATTAACCATGATGACAAAACTAATACTGTAGCTATACAGTAAATAAATGTTAAAATAAAATATTTATCCCTGTCGGATGTCGGTATCATCGAAATCGACTTTTGACAATCGAGTCTTGGTACCGATACCAATGTCCAAGTATCGGTGGTATCGATGGCGATAATGGAATCATCCCTTTTTACTAGTAGAGCTGTATCGTGACGTAATCGATGCATCGGGATTTTGATGCATGCTGGATCGAATCGGGATTCGATGCATCGCACTCGCACACCTACACCACTGCCCACCCAACCCACTGCCTATCACCCAGTGTCAGCTTAGCTGTCGGCGCTGTCGCTGTCAGTGAAATGGATGACGCAAGCGATGTCTAGGTTGCCGATTATTAGTAGGCCTAGTATGTCAATATTTAAAGGGGTTAATGGATTAAATAAAACTCAAACATTTTCCTTTCTTACTATTTATTTGTCAAATATCAATGAAAATAACGAAATCGTCTACTACTCGACTCGAGTCACGAGTATCTTTTAACTACTCGACTCGACTGTCGAGTATTGCCAACTACTCGAGTAATTACTCAACAGTCGAGTACTCGCCCACCCCTACTTTCATCACTTTAAATGCTGGAAAACAGTCTTCCTTTTAATACAAAATGTTGTTTATCTGCTATGACCTCCTCCAGTTTTTAATTTTGGTTAAGAAGAGAGGTTTACAACTTAAAAACAAATACCGAAACCCCGGTCTGACAGGCCCATGAGAATTTTTAGAAACACATGTTGGCAATACTGTTTACTTGGGAGATTCCATTCCCCCAATACCATCCTCCTTTTCCTTCCCTACCTTTTGATATATTGTTTGTTCATTTTGCATGGGTGCCGTGACCTTGACAGGTTGCCTGTTCATAACATGCTTGACTCAGAATCCCAGCGTTAGTGTATTTTAAAACGGGGTCACAAGCCCAGGGTTTTGGTTTGTGTGTTTCTAAGCGGGGTCCATTATTTTCAAATGGGGTCTCACAGACCGGGGGTTTCGGTTAATGTCAGCTTAGGTAGGGTTTTGGTATTGGTGTTAACATTAGTATTGAATATGTCTATCTAACATAGACATATTAGTCAAGATATTTTACCAACATTTTGCTTTGTTACCCAGAGTTCTGTGTGCGGAAGGTCACATGTGCCCCAAGAAATGTCATCAGCCATGTGGCGACTGCCAAATACCCATGAGGAGACAACTGCCTTGTGGGCATTCCGCTGACGTTCCTTGTCACAAGGACATAAGGTATGATTGGAGTGTGTATTTCCATTCAAATGTTTTATGAAGTAAACCCTCAAGATCCTGACCTAGTTAACTCCATTGTACGTTAATGGTGCATTACAGGTCTTAGAGGGATAGTTAGGCTACTAATTCTACTGGAAACATATTTGGTTGTTTTCATACTTAACGATTTTTACATACTGACTAAACAGTTTGGATGGTTGGATTGGTAAATGTTTAAAAGATGTAGTATTGCTGAAACTGTTATTCAGTGCAATTTGGTTATGACGTCATTTAACGGACCACAACATTTTTGACACTATATCAGAGTGACACTATAAAAGGGTCATAAAGCTTATTACTGTATTAAATAACGTAGGAGAAATAATACTCTATGTTTTTTTACTGTAACCACCTGCTAAGCTGTCTACATGCGAGATGGATTCGGGACAATGGCAGTGTTGGGTGGGGGACAGGTTGATGCATCGGGAAATGATCTTCGGTGTGGTGAGGGTGGGTGATGCCGCGGGGACAGTGCAGTGTAGGAGGGGGGCAGGTAGATGCGATGACGACTGCACAGGGAAGTGCTCAAGGCCGTATCCAGAAATATGCTGTTGCGTGACTACTGTATACGTCTGCAGTACACTTGCCAACATCGCCCATTACAGCCATTTACCCACGGTTACTTTGTTGCTTAGAGCGGGATTTTAGTGTTGGGTGGGGGACAGGTTGATGCAGCGGGAAATGATCTTCGGTGTGGTGAGGGTGGTTGATGCCGCGGGACGGGACAGTGGCAGTGTAGGAGAGGGGCAGGTAGATGCAATGACGACTGCACAGGGAAGTGCTCAAGGCCGTATCCAAAAATGTACGGTTGTGTGACTACTGTATACGTCTGCAGTACACTTGCCAACATCGCCCATTACAGCCATTTACCCACGGTTACTTTGTTGCTTAGAGCGGGATTTTGTTGACGTTATATACGAGGTTTTAAAATATTTTGACGATTAATCTGAGATTTTACTAATGCGTGCGCCTTAAGTTTGGTGGGATTTAGGCTTGAATGACGTTATATCCGTGTTGACGTTATGACCAAGGCCGTAATAACCAAGATGCACTGTTCACAAAATTAAGGTGGTTTAAGGGGAAGGTTTCCGCTTGAAGTAAGTATCAGCTGATCAGCTGTTGAATGTTGTTTCATTGTCAAGGTGAAGTGGAGGGGATGGGTAGGGTGGAGGGGGCTTCTTCTCAAACCACCTAAATTTTGTGGATGGAGTAGTACATGGCTTATGGATACTCTATACTGTTCAGTGAACTTTGAATAATCCCTATAACCTAAAAGGTCGCTGAACAGGCAAATTAAGTAAACAAATACTGTAAAAGATGATCTGCCCAATTCAATAACAAATTGCACATTAAAAGATTCTGTAAAAATAAAAAATTTTAGTTTTTAGGTTTAGTATTATTTAGCTTGCTTTATTGAAGTAACCATCAAATAGTAATTTTCACACTACATAATCCACAACTGCCATCCCACATTATTTGCACCTACATAATTTTGATCAAGCATCATTATAGTATTGTTATTTTTCAGAACTCACCAATGTGAACAGCCTGTTGAAGTGCGGGTTCCTTCCTGTCGTCACATCATAACTGTGCAATGTCACACCAGGCACTTCCCGGTTTGCTCCTTGCCTTGTACTCGGAGACTGGATTGTGGCCATAGTTGCGAAATGATGTGTCATGAGACCGAAGACCCTGACCATTTAGAAGTGAGTAGTTTTACATACCGGTTTAAAAAATCAGAAACTGCTTGTGCCTTGAGTTTTCCATGGAATTCCTATGCAAGTATTTTCGAAGATGTCTTTGTGATCATAAGAGAAGTTGAGATTTGATGCGATTGCTATTATGTGATCTGCACAAACGTGCAACCTCAAAAGTGTTTTTTTTTATAAGGCAGTGTTATAAGGTAAAACAATAGGCCCAAATCAAACAGCTTAACACTTCTTAAATTGTCTTGGAAAACTTTAAACACAGTAGGCTACATATTATTAAACAATGCTAAGATTTAATAAAAACAGAATAGGGTTGATCCCTATGGTTTTTAAAGTATATAATTATTTTTTATTTGACTTGAACAATCATGTCAATATTAGAATCATTGTAATGGCAAACACCTGGCAAAAGGCGTTACAAGCTCGCTGTGCTCAAGTGGAAATGTCACTGCTTTTGCTGACGTTCTGCAGACGACTCGTCCAGCTAAATGGTTAGCAGCCAACCTAATACTGTGTGTGATTTTCATTTTCTAGGTTACTGCAGATAATTTGTACGTTAAAATTTTAATACATTTAGTCACTATTTAAAGTATTAATCACAAATTACTTGCTATTTTTATTTTACTTTCAACAGAAACATTCCTAAAAATGTACGGTAATTATTGTTTCTCCAACTGGAAATAAAAATGTAAATATATTGGCCTAAATGACCTCTTATAACCTGACGGCCCAGATAACCAGGCTCGAATAGTGGAAAGAGTACTGTAGTCAATAGATACACGTACAAAGACACAGTAAACATAGCAGTACAATTAGGTATGACTTTCGCCATGATTTGTTCTGTTTTGTTGCAGTACGTCTGTAGAAAGCCTTGTGCTCGTCTCAACGCTGGCTGCACAAAGGATCATAAGTGCCCGTTATTATGCGTCGAACCATGCAACCCCTGCTCCGAAATGGTAAAAACTCAGTTCTTTAAAATGCCTACAATCTTACTGTCCAAATTCTGTCTCCTAATTTGGGATTTTCTGAGAATATTTTGTTCATCACATTTTTCCTACAGCGCTTTATTTGCTTTTAAATGTGTATTATACAACAAATGTGTTCTGTGAATAAACGGGATGAATTTTGTTTTCAAGTCTGAGTGGGGACCTCAGAGTTTTTATCCCCCACAAAAAAAAAAAAACAAAAAAAAACTGTTAAGTGCATTGGAGCACAAAAACCTTTAAAATTAGACATTACTATATAAAAAACTGATGATTAATATTAATCCTGTGATATTTGACGGCTTGTTGTTTTGCAGGTAATAAGAGAGCTTCCTTGCAAACACCTTCTGAAGCTGGCCTGTAGTGCTGACCTCAATTCTGTACTATGTCAGCAGAAGTGCGCGAAAACTCTACCCTGCTCACATCGCTGCACCAAGAAATGCTTCCAAAACTGTGGACCTTGTGACGTCCAAGTAAGTTGTTCAAACAGCGACTATTCTTACTAGGTAAGCTCGGTATTATTGTTTACTTGAGGTGTGACTAGTAATTGTTCGCATCAAATGGTAAATACTTCATAACATTACTGAATATTTACTGAATACATTACTCAATGTATGTTTTAAAAAAATATTAACGTTTCTCAAAACAGATCAACAACAATTAGGTAACAGTTTAAACAATAAGGGCGGAGAAACAACAGCTTAAAAAGTTTTTCTTACCACCCAGTATTTTGTAACCTTTATTTGTGTATTGATTTGTCTTTGGACTCTAATTTTTCTGGGTAAGTAAGCACATCACTCGATGTGGGTTGATAACACTTTATCAACTACATGTTGTTGTGTCTAGGTTGAGAAGACTGTAATCGGATGCAGACACATGGTAAAGGTGGAGTGTAGCACTCCTGCTACGAGACAGATCTGTACTGGACGGTGTCCGAACGAGATGAGGTGTGGTCACCAATGTGCCAAACGCTGCAAGGACGAGTGCTCTGTGACAGACTGTGAAGTACTTGTTCCTGTTAAGGAGAAGAAAACGGTGTTTGGGTTGTCAGTGTTCAGTAAGAAACTGTATCCGCTTTTGTGCGGCCACAGTGAAGCCCATGTGCCGTGCAACAAGAAACAACTTGTTGACCAAAGTGAGTATTTAGAAATACGAGTGGAGAACACCCAAGAACTGTACACTTCGGCTAGTTTTTCATGATGCGATGTTGAGCCGCTGCGAGTTTGAACACCAACACACTCAAAAGTCGTCAGTTAATCTCTGATTCAGACGATGTTGAATCTTAGTTTGATTTTGGACATTCAGATTGTCAAAGTCACATTTTCAGATGCTGACGCTCCGAGTGTTTGACGGTTTGATTTTCAACACTCCCATTCTCAAAGTCACATTTTCACTTTTCGAGTTTTCAGTAGTCTATTTCCCACTGACACAAGTCAATTTCGAATCTTCTAGGTTTTTTAACTCTCTTATGGTTGTAAGTCACTCTACCAGTCAAATTGCATCTCAGATTGTTATTTAAAAGTTTGTTTTTTGCTGCAGATAAAATAAGGAAGTAAGTTATATTTGTCATAGTTTTTTATTTTGTCCACGTTTTTGCATCCAAAACATTCTCGTAATACTAAAAATGGACTGTTGGTAGCTTAACTTAATTATGTTATTTTGATTACGAAACAGGTAACATCAAAAATTGGGATAAATAATTGTCTCGTTTTATCAATCTATATTCAAATGTGATACTCATTATAACATATTTACAGTGAGTCCAGAGGAGTTGATGAAATACTGCCAGAATCCGTGCGGTCAAGTTTTGAACTGCAAGCATCGTTGTAGCGGAACTTGCAGCGAGTGTATGCAGGGCCGTATACATAAAGTGTGCACCGAGACTTGCGGCAATGTCCTCGTTTGCGGTCACAGGTAGACAGAATTTTTAACAAGTACATTTGTTGTGGAACTTGAATGTAGCCTTTTGGCCTGTAGTCTTTTTGAAGAATGTTAGGAAAATGACGAGAAAGAACCTATGACAAAAGTTGGCACTGTAATATATGGGTTTTTTTCAGGTTATTAGTCTCGAATCTCAAGACAGATATAACTTAAATTCGAAATAGTTAGTTTGATTTGATGAATTGGTGCATCAGTTAGGAGAGACTATAAATTCATGGCAAAAATGTGCTTTGGACCGTAGTGTCCAACTCTAAATCTTTTCAATAGGTTTACTCTTGGACTATACAGGCTAACTTCTACCTTTGTTTGATACGCCACACACAGTCTGAGGCTTTTGTAAACAAACAAACGTCTGTTGAAAAAAGGCCTTTAACCTTTTTGGAATTTTTTGTTTGCTTTAATAACCCAGCTTAAGTCAAATTGTCTATCACTTCTCAGTTTTTATTGATAAATGGTAATTTAAAAGTGACAATTAAGGCAAATACTAAAATTGTTGCACTTTGATAGCAGCACCAACATTCCTACACTGAATACAAATATCATAAGTTTCCATCGTTTATAACAATGTTTTCAATCATGTTGCGTTTTCACAGTTGCAAAGTCAACTGTAGAGAGGTGTGCCCTCCGTGCAAGGAGCCGTGCAGACACGAGTGCAAACACTCGAAATGCAGCAGAAAATGTGGCGAGGAGTGTGTTTCTTGCAAGGTAATTTCAATTTCAAACATTTCTAAGTTTGCCATGAGAATTACCGTCGTAACCCACAACCCCAACTTAGAGATTGCTGTTTGAAATACACTGCAGCCTACTTGTATTGTGGGTGACACTACTTGATACTAATTGATTAACTTGAAGGCATATCTTTTAAGTAAACGGAACTGAAAGTTTATTTGAGAATTGCATACTGTAGTAGATTGATGTGCCGGTACTGGTTCCTGAGCAAAATTGATTCTCAGTAGGTTTAGTTGTACAAGTAATCAAAGAATTTTCAAACTTTTGGGGTTTTGGTTTGGATTTATTACTTTTATGTTTCTGAATAAACATTCAAAGGTAATTTGAAACTCGCAGATTTATTTACTTATCTCACTTGGGAAAAATAAAAACACCAATTCTATGATATCTGCGGCCACAGCCTTGGTTCATGGTTGCCCATAGTTCAATTGATGTGATGGCGCTTAGTCGTCGTTGTCAGAATACCTCTCAAAGAGACTCATCTCTGTTGGTACCTATGTACCAACTCTCCGACACCAAACATTTTTTACCGCAAGTTCTCTGTACCAGTTTTTACCAATAGTCCTAAAGTCTAAAAACGCCTTTGAATCTGAAAGGTGTTCAGCAATAAAGGAATCATAAACAAAAAAATTATTAATATTTAAAAGTTTACATTTTTTTCACGAACCTTTTTTTTACGTATTATTAATTGACTGTGGTGTACAGGAGCCGTGTGACTACTCTTGTCCACATCTGAAGTGCTTGCGTCGCTGCGGCGAGCTGTGTGATCGAGATCCGTGTTATGAGTCTTGCCCACAGCGGCTGAGCTGCGGACACTCATGTGTTGGTTTCTGCGGCGAGCCTTGCCCTCCTTGTCGCCAGTGTGAGCCGAAACATTTTGAGGAGATATTCTACACTGGAGAAGAAACCGAGGAGGATTCCAAGTATGAGTTTTGCTTTTGTAATTTTTGGAAATGCTTTTGCGATTGACACCAATTATTAAATGGTTGCATGTTCAAAGTATTGCTTGGTAAACAAATCTTGCCTAATGCAGTGTAGTTTCTTCTTTATAGGTCTTTTGTATTTTGTTTAAGCTAGTTTGCATGTCTATTGTTATCTAGTTTTGTTGGCTTTTACTATTAAATATTTTTTAGAGCAATATTCGGTTGTTTTCTTTCCACAATTCTTTTTTTGAGTAATGAGTGACCCCTCATTTTGAAGGGTTTGTCAAAAGAAATACAATGACGCAAACCGGAAGTAGATATTTCATCCCTAGCCTAAATGGCGGGTATTCCAAAATTTTATTTATGTAAAAAATCACCCATTTTGGAATACCCGCCATTTTGGCTAGGGATGAGATATTCACCTCAGATTTGCGATATTGTGTTTCTTTTGACAAGCCCTTCACTGAATAGGGGTCGCTATTTGAAAAAAATAAGTCTCCCCCTATCCCACTACCCTGTTAGGGGGGTTGAACAATATTTTGGGTGTAAAAAATTGCGGAATCTTTGTTAAGAATCAATGCCACAAGCAGAATATTTCTATCTATTTCGGATTTAAAAATACAGATTTGTTTCAAGGCTTAAAACACACTGTACAATAATGATGGACGAAATATAGAAATTCTGTTTGCTGTAAATGGTTCAAAGATTTTTAAAATTTTGGGAAATGATGTTTAACAATTGGCCGTAAACACCATATTTCTGCCTTTGGAAACCCAAAACTGAAGTAAATTTTACAATTGGGATAGTTAATTGATGCAACATTTATTAATAACAATTAATTAAACTTACGCTTTGTAGATCTATAGCTATTTCAAATTGTGTAAAATACGACAATAAATCACTTTTAAATTAGTCCCTAAGGTATGGGTAATTTTAAATTTTTGCTTTGATATGTTTGAATATAAAATCTCTTTATTGTGGATATTTTAATGATGAAACATACAAACATTCCAAATTTTATTTATATGAACACTTGATGTTAATAATACTGCCAAATATTGAGTTTTTCCTAATTAATATTCAGTTTGATCTTCACAGATGAAAAATCCACTTTTTGCTGTAGTGGTGTCTTTCACTAAACTGTAAAAAGATAGGTAAAGGAAAAAAAAAATATAAACAAAAAAATATATTTGCAAAAATTAAATCCTGTATATACATACAAAATTTACTGGAGTCTGGGTACGAAGAAAAAAACTAGAATAGTTTACTGCTTTTTTCACTAATGCGGGGTCTGGGGGCCTTTTTATAACCCCTCAATTTATAGAAAATTTATAAAAGTTGTGAAAAAAAAGGCTTTTGTTGATGCTTTGTTGGATAGTATAAACATATGGAAATTAACAATTAAAATCTGGGAACAACATTGTTTCTCGTCGATTGTTCCCATCGGTTAGAATTTCTTCAACGATGCATTTGAGATAGAAATTCAATATATGCCTGGCTTTTTCTCAGCCAGGTCTTTGCCCGTGGGAACGTGACTTGAACTTGAGATCTTGCGTTTATCTTTTCTTTATTTATTCCAATGAGGGGTCAGCGAATATTTTCTATTGTTCTTAAGATCGTAAAGAAAATAATTTTAATCATTTTAATTTTTAATTTCCATATGTTTATAATAGGTACAACTTGAACTGCCTTTTTTATACTATACATACATATCCTCTTCTGTTATGGTAATTACTGAATCTGAGGTTCAGCCTAAATGACCCCATCTCCGTTCATCCCACCAAGTCCCGTCCCTCCACCATCTTAACCCTCCATACTTTTAAGTTTCTCCTGGCCTCCTTCCCGCTACCATTATCAATTCCATTTTCCTAGGTATTCTTTTTCCTGGCTTCTTATCACATCCTCCTTATGCTCTCTACGGTTTTTCTTAAACTTCCTTAATTCACCTCTCTTGCTCTTGTGGTTTGTTCATTCCTTAGACTATGCCTTCATCTTATACACTTGACAGTCCTTAAAAGTGTTATTTCTCCGTCTTTTGCTGCATTATATTCCTTGCACTTTATTTTTCTGCCTCTAAAGTAACTTTTGACTTGTTACACATCATTGTTGTTCTCATCGCTGACACAGAACTATAAATAAATACCCCCGCCGCAGCAAACCTGCAGACTAAGCGAATTTCCATTTGACTGATTGGATTTACACTGAAATGTCTACTTAAAAATATAACATTTATTCCCGATTTAAATAGAATTAGTTTAACAAGTACTTAGGTTTGCTGCATCAGGGAGGGTAAAATTGTTTTTTTTTTTTTTTTTTATGTTAATAGTTAGTAAGAAATAAAAACATTTTCCAAATTTGATCAAAATATGTTCATAAACAAGCAAACTACAACAGTTTACTTATTCTCCATAAGAATAACATGGGAATTTTAAATTTACAATTTTTTGGAATTTTGTCCGTAACCGTTAGGCGCATAATAACGCTTCAATATACTAAATTATTTGTTTTTTTAAGCTCTACAAAATGGTTTGGAAATGAATTGCAAAATTTTAAGTTTTTTGGGTCAAAAATGGAAAAAACCTATTTTTACCCCATAAAACCCCCCGTAAACACCCGTTCCCATGGTCCGATCATGCTGGATCGCGAACTCGTTCGAATAAACGTAGGTTTACACGTTTGTACCAAATTTCATCAAAAACGGATCATTTTTGCTTGAGTTATCGTGCTGACGGACACATATATATATATATATATATATATATAAATATATAAATATATATATATATATGAATTTGAACGGATGGTGTTTTTGGCCTCTAGGGACCTCAAAACGAAAAAAAAAATCGGTCCCGCGTCCAGGTCTTACCATGAGTACTACGGTAATAGCTTATTCCCTATATTATTATTATTATTATTTGTTGTCATGAGAGCCGAAGCCCCCTGACTGCTTACCCCGTACCTATCCTTCAGGACATACCCGGGCCCCATGATGTAGGCCGAAGCTTACGCATCAACCTTTAGCACATCATGGGCGGATGACTTAAGGTCATCAGGCTCGCCGGCTGCCGAAGCAGACCCTTCGGAAAGAGGGTTGCCCCTCAATCCTAACCAGGGATTCCGGCTGCTTGTTTAAGCGTCACTCCACCTGGGTTCCACTAAGTCGGAACCTAGAGGTCCATAGTAGAGCGCCCCGACGCATTTAGTGCAAGCAACACTCGGGACCTATCTCATCCCTGACAGGCAGAACCCGCCATCAATAGCCAGGAGGAAGGGGACCATCAGCACGCTGACGGGGGGAACCCCAACCTCCCATTTACACCGCTGCCCGATCGAGGCCTTACCCATTGCTGGGAAACCAGAGATAACCAGAGCGATAGATCCCCAGATACCCCTGGCGGGCTCGGACCCAGCACCCGATCTACTTCGTTTGCCCGTCAGACCCAACATCACTGCCAGGCCATCAGGGTTTCCCAAAAGGAGGCAGGTATAGAAGTGGGACCCACCCGGATGAACCTATCCACCAGAGGTGGCGACACCCTTGACTCAATTGAGGTTCCGGGAAGAACCCCCCACACTCAAGATAACCATACCGTCCGTGCTCAGAGACAGGGATAGGTTTGCATAAGTACCTACAAACCGTTGCCCTCACACTGCGGAAAGTTACGTTGCCCTTGAGTGTCCCCGTGAGCTGCGGGTACTTGCCCGTTTTCACCTCCAGGAAAGGTTACTTCCAAAGTCGAGGATTTGCCCACTGAACGCTGGTCGCACACAACAAGCAGGCCGAAGCCCAAAGAACCACAGACACAGGTAGGTTAGAGATTATGATGTACTTCCATCTCTCCTAGAGCTAAACACCCCTCCATCCTGGATAAAGGAATGTCACTGGGACCCGATGCCCAGTCGACCATGTCTGTGACCAACTTGAAAATGCCGATACCAACACGGAGCATTTACCTCCCCTCTGGGGGCTAGGTATTTCACCTCCCAGGACGAGGCTACTTCCAAAGTCGAGGATATGCCTCACAAAATGTCAGTCGAACACAACAGGTAGGACTCAGTCACAACCACAGTTACAGGTAGATGAGGAGAGGCGGAATTAACGGCGTCACTGAGAGCTAAACACCCCCCCCACCCTGAATGGAGGGAATGTCACTGGAGGCTCCCCCTAAGGGGCTGGCGCTTACCAGTCGTCCATAACTGTGGTCTACCTGAAGTGCCGGGTCTGACACCGGGCAGTTACCTCCCCTCTGGGAGAGCTAGGGTCCGCGTGGTCGCCCAGGCCACGAACCCACGCAAGCGTGAGCCCCCTGCGGTTTTATTCCCTATATGGGAAATTCGCTAAAATGTTGGGAACAAGCTGGTCTAAAGGTAGAGCGCAGGCCTTTGACCCCTGAGGTGTCGGTTTCAAAACCTGCCAATCACGTATAACTAAATATGTTGGGAGCGAGCTGGTCTACTGTAAAGGTAAAGGACGGGCCTTTGGTCCCTGAGGTGTCGGGTTCAAATCCTGCCAATCACCAATATGTTTTTTCTCGAGGGATCCGCAACCCATAGATCTAGCCTGAAGTAATAAGAAAACAATCCTGGGCTAGATTAGTGTCCTAGAACAAAAAATATAAAGAAATTCCGAAATAAGTGTTTTACGTTTATCTATAGCCTGGGATCTTTCCCCAAGCTGTCATCTTTTCCATTCTCCATCACTTTACTTAGTGTGATTCATAGATTCAAAAACTAATGTTGAAAGTAAAACATTTGTCTCTCAGACTGAAAAAAAAATTGGAAAGCTCTCTAAACTCTGTCCTATTTTGATTTATGTTGCCTGTTCTAGATGGGTACTGCTAGTCGACTGTGGACACACGTTAGAATCGACTGGTCTTGAAATGTGGCTCAACATAGAGCAAGATGGAGGAGAGATCGGCTGCAAAGTGTGCCCTCGTTGTAAATCGCCGATCGTCCAAACCCAGAGGTTCATGAACCTTATCAAGAAAACATACATGGACATACAGCAAGTGAAAGCCAAGTGTTTCGGAAAACGAGACGAAATATCTAGAGAACGTGCTAAAGCTTTGAGGAGGATACAACAGATAACTTTCCAACAGATGTCAACTAGGGGTGAGTTTTGGTTCTCAAAGTTATGAAATTACGTGACTTGTGTAAATATTCAGGTATTCTTAAAAATAACTTAATTTTCTCATTTGTCAGTTTAAACTTACTAGTATCAGTTTATCCAGGTAGTGGGTGTGTCAAGCTAATATCTGTGGTAATACTTTAGGCTAAAAGAACTGTACTCAGGTCAATTTTACTTTAAACCAATTGAGACAAGAAAGAAACCGTATTGTAACAAGAATGTCTATCCAAGCTCAGTTGTTATGTGTAAAATCTTTCAAGGCTACCTTCCTTCTAGATTATTAAAAAAAAAAAAAAAAAACACTTTAAGTAGAAGTTAACACAAAAAGTATTCCAAAAGCTATAATAATACAATGTGAATAAAACTTGAGTGTGAAAAGTTACCACGGCAAAGAATTTTTCAAAATGAAACAAACCCTACGTTGGCTACTTATTTATTAGAAATATCTTGATAAAAAAGTAGCAAAATGAAACTTCCAGTGCTGTTAGGATTGTGTTTTTCTTTACCATTTGTTTCTCGTTATTTCAGTTATTTAAACCCTCATTTAACCAAATAAAATATATAATCATAAACTATATCTCGTCCATTAGTTATATCAAACTAATAATAAAGCACAAATCATAAAATTAACCCTAACTAAAATAATAGTAAAAAAATTTTGTCGACACTACCGCCCAGGGTTACCAACATAAACTAAACATGATAAACAAGTTTCAGATTTTGCAATGGGATGAGAAGTCTACTTGTGTTGGATTGTCTACGTTTTAATATTTTTAGTATCATAAATTAATTTGTTTTAATTAACTTTTATCTTTATCGTATCATGATCATGACTAACAGTCATCTTATATAGGGATATAAAATCATAAAGCTTGATATTGATACAGTTTTTAGTTGTTACACAGGTCTGATGTCTAATAAATGAAAATATTTTAATATCATGAATTTTAAATGAGTTTATTAGAAGTAATCACAATCTGATTTTCTCTCTTTCCAGATCAACAAATGGACGATGAATTGCAGAAAATGTACCTTGAGCTTCTAGTAGAACTGCCAGATGTAAAGGGTAAAAAGAGAAACACAATTGATACTCAGAGATTACATCTGCTGTGCTTCTGGACCGAGTTCTTTATTTCTGTTTATTCAAGAAAACTAGAGGTTTGGTCCAAATTGTTTGAGGAGGGAAAAATATTGTTAAATGCCAATATAAACTGCATCACCAAACTTTTGATGAAAAGACGTCACAAGATCAGTGAACAGGAGATGGAGTGTTTTCAACGAGAAGTGAAACGCATTCACAGAATCGCTGATCTTCTCGTTTACGTGAATTCAGCAGAATACCGCATGGCAGCTTCAAATTCCATTGTGAAAGAGACAAGAAAGGCTGCTGAACATGTCATTTTTTCAATCTCTGCTTATGACGACGTATACGATGAAGTTGCCAAACACCAACTTGAAAAACTTAAAACCCTCATCAGAAGCTCTTCCGAAGTGACTGCAGCAGAAAGATCGATGATAAATCAAGCGATGTCTTCAAGTTTTAGAAGTGCTCAGAAGACTGGCCATTGGTTCAAGTGCAAGAACGGTCATCTGTACTGTATTACCGAGTGTGGCGGAGCGATGGAAGTTGCTATTTGTCCTGTGAGAGGATGCGGGCAAAAGATTGGCGGCCAGAATCATCAGTTGCTGGAGGGTCAGGATCTTGCTTCGGAAATGGATGGAGCCAGATATGCTGCTTGGTCAGACGCCAACAACATGGCCAACTTCAACTTCTAAATGTGATGTAAAAATCTATATATTGAAATTTATTCTATAAATATGTGTGAATTTTTAAAGTTTTTTTTACTTCTTTTGAATTATAATCTACCGTTTTAAAATTAGTTTTACAGTAGCCTACCTCTTATCCAACTACTATTCAATTGGGCAAAGCTTAACCAAGAGTATGCCAAAACATGGGCATACGCTATAAACTGATCACTTATTTAAAAAAAATACATTGTTTCAAGTGGTTGTGGTCAGCTGGAAAAGAATAATTTTTTTATTTTTAAAAAATAACTCAATTACTCACGTTCACATGTTCCTGTAAATATAATTTTCTTTTTTTTCTGTTCGATAATCGATATTAAATTTGTTTGCAACTTGGAGTAGTTCATCTTGGAAGTAAAAACTTTCTGTCTGATAATAAACCTTTCCAGTGATTGTTTTTAAGTTTCTGTAGTTTTTTTACAAGGTTACATGTTTTGTTTTTCGGTTCAGTTTCAAATTCTTTTTCCTTTTCAGTAAATTTTTAAGTTATTTTGAGTTTTTATTGTTTAAAAGTTCATCCTTTTTACAATGCGGTTATTTAAAAAATGTTAAATCCAGGCTGCCACTGCTTACTAGAAACATTACATGATATATAATATGATGTAAAATAGAAGGACAATAATACAGCTCATAGAATATATAACTTAGGCATTGGGAAACATTAATTGAATGAGTTTTAGACCTCATTGCTATATCGGACGGCTTTATCTGGTTAAGTCTCCGAGGTAGGCTACTGTATAGTCAAAGTTACATAATATTGTTATGCTCGGTACTTGTTGTTAGTATGCTTTATACTGTTATAAAAAAGGTATGGTTTTGTCTTATGGGTATCGTCTTAAATATGGGGTTTCATAATCTGTTTTGCATACAAGAAAATGTTTAAAGTCCAGCCAGAATAGTTTGTACTCTAATAAAAATTACTATATTATATTTTGTTATTTTTCTGTTTTGCACACAAGAAAATGTTTTAAGTCCAGCCAGAATAGTTTGTAGGCCTACTGTAATAAAAATCACTATATTATTTTATTTTTTTTCTGTTTTGCATGCAAGAAAAGTATTTAAGTCTAGCCAGAATAGTTTGTACTGCAATAAAAATCACTATATATATTTTGTTATTTTTTTGTCAAATGTTTCTGCAACTGTTACTGCTTTTAGTTGACTTATTTAAATTGTGATTCAAATGGATACAATAATAAAGACTGCATCTTTAACTGTAATTATTTATGACTACTATTTATTCCATCTGTTTTACCAAGGTTTGTTATGTTGTACAAAGGCAAACGTTGCTAGTAAATTGTTTGATATTGTATTACAGTGTTTTTTCTCCCCTCACAATAATATTTTATTGTTTATTAATTATGTTTTATTATCTTAAGAATGTACATAGGCACTTTTATCGGTGACTGATTCTGTATAACCTTGCTATTCGTTGATTAACGAGTAGACGTCTACACTCGTGTTGTTTTCTGAGCAACTGTTCGTTTCTGGAATAGCAAATGTTCGTTCACTTTGATGTGTACAAAAATACCAACAATGAACAGGAAAACATCAATACGAATATTTGCTGCTTGCCAAATAGACTATCCAGTATCCACACTACTCACGATTCGACGAGTCGCTGCTCGGTGCTTGGCGCCTGTCGCATGTAGACCGCCTTTAGAAGAAGCTATAAACTCGATAGCAAGTGATTCTTGATAACCAATGAACTTGGATCCTTAAATTTGCTCTTAACTTTAATTTTCAAATGAGAGACCTCAACAAGGAGTATATTTTGATAACAATAGAACTTTCCATGTATCTTTGAACTTGGCTTAAATTGAATTGAAATTTTCCAGCAACCTCAATGAAAAATACACCTTATATAGCTTTGGAATGATTCTTTAGTAGTATTTTTAGACTTGAAACTTTTATCATTATACTTCGATCAATTAAGAGTGTTAATTAAGTAGTGCATTTAATCCACATACACAAACTCAGTAAAGCTCAGTCACAAATTTAGAAGAACAACTAAAAGAGTAGACTCTGTTTATTTGCTCAACCCTACTTCATGGGTGTTTTTGATTTTAGACGTCACACAAGGAGTTTTATAAAGGTATTGAAACGGACAAATGAAACAATATAATTTTATACATATAAAAATACACAAAAGTATGAAAACTATGTATAATCTATAGAAGTGTACACTAAACAACAAAAACCTTACTAGAAATATCGATAAAAATATATTGCAAAAGAACAACGCCATTGGTGACACACAGATCTACACTCCGGGAACTTGTATCACAAGCAGTGACACACGGGAGCAGGTTCCGTGATACGAACTCCCAGGCTTCAACTCTTTACGGGTAGTACGGGGGATGGGGAAAGGCGAAATTATGTTTAATAGGTTCCAAAAAAAAGGCGAGGTACATCTTGCCCTTGAAACTGCCGGCAGGCGATAACGCATATTTTTCTATAAACATAAATGGTCCCGGAGGAAAACTCCAAAATAAAAAAAAATGTTTATTTTAGTACTACATGATGCCAGTAATGAAAATTATACATTTTATGTTTTAAGAGTACATTATGGAAAAAAACCAAATTTCAATAGGTAGGTACCCAATAACACCCAGTTCCCATAATGAGTTTGAACCTGTTTGAGGACTACCAAGTCCTCAAACAGGTTCAAACTCATTCTAGTTTATGCCAGCATGATCATGTTCATGCCAGGTTTTGAGATTTCATCAAAATTGTGCCAAATTTACTTGAGTTATCGTGTTCACACACACACAAATCTAACAGTTTTAACAAATAGTGTTTTTTACCTCCGAAGACATCAAAAGGAAAATAGTCCCGGGTCTAGATATTACTATGAGACCTAAAGGTAAAAGATACCTAGGAAACTGAACAAGAAACCTTCATATTGGTCATCCCTTCATCATAGAAGATTAGTATAAGAGGACATGGTGCAAGGTTTCATGGCAACTGACTTTACACAAATTCATTCTCAATCTTAAGGAGAACTAGGACAGACTTAGTAACAATTAATTGTGAGCGCTCCAAGATATAAACTGTAGTGGAGAAATAACTAACATTTGGAACTGATTATTTATTTTTATAGTGTCCAGGAAGAAAACAAAAGACTCAAAACCCCTTTGAGCTCCAAAGACTGAATAAGCAGCTAGTAACAGGACATTGTCTCTTCAATGCCTAATTTGCACAAATCACCTAGTAGGCTTAAGTAACTTACAATGTCATTGTAGGTCCCAAATCTTGTTATCGATGTGTAACTGTTTTGCTCAGGATTGGTAAGTTAATAAAGGAGATCACCTTTAGCTGATCTCAATAGAAAAGCCTCACCTACACTTTTGTCGGCTAGGAGGAAGTTAACAGGTTGGGTTTATTTATTTGTAAGTTAACTTATATCGCAGGTCATCCATCGAACTTATACAGGGTGGTAAAAAAGTCCCTGGACAGTTAAATATTTTAAAAAATAATGAAGATAGAGCTACAATACTTGGTACAAAGTTACAGGGCATAAAACTCTATTTTAACACATAATTTATTCAGTGATCCAATAACTCTTCAGGGGCACGGCCCACAAGGAATCGGAAGAAAATCTTAAATGGAAGCATAGGTCAATATGCACATCAAATTAAAGGTCTTTTTTAGTAGAATACAATGCCACAAACCGCACTTCAAAAGGTTGATCCAGCGCAAAATGGCAGATGTTCAAAGATTTCTTGAATCCGCCATTTTGAATCTTTGAACGGCTGCCATTTTTTACTCAGGCATTTTTTTGAGCTTGAATTTACTGCATCGTAATCTACAAGTGAAGACCTTTAATTTTATGTGCATATCGACCTATTTTTACGTTAACAATTTTCTTCCGATTCCTAGGGCTGTGCCCCCTGAGGAGAAAGCGTATAATAGCAATGTTAATTAAATGAATCTTTGAACAACTGTCATTTTGCGCAGGATCAACCTTTTGAAGTGCGGTTTGCGGCATTGTATTCTACTAAAAAAGACCTTTAATTTGATGTGCATATTGACCTATGCTTCCATTTAAGATTTTCTTCCGACTCCTTGTGGGCCGTCCCCCTGAAGAGTTATTGGATCACTGAATATGTGTTAAAATAGAGTTTTATGCTCTGTAACTTTGTACCAAGTATTGTAGCTCTATCTTCATTATTTTTTTAAAATATTTAACTGTCCAGGGACTTTTTTACCACCCTGTATATAAGCCCACTTCTAAAATTAATTTAATATTATTTTTAGTGAGAAGTTAGTCGGTCTTGGTAAAAATTGTTTCTAAAAAGCTAATGGAAACTGCAGTTTTGTTAAGTGTGCACTGAAAGTTGCCCAAAATATAGGCGCTTTAACAACATTATGGTATAGCTGTCGACCAATCAAAAGGCTGCCGGGTTGATCCTGAGGAAAATCAGTAGCTTTTTGGTGGTTGAATGGACTTAGCTGTTCCTGATCATTATGGGGTTTATAAATAAACTAGCAGTGTCCTTTTTATGGGGTTGACGTATAAATATAAAATTCTTGTTGCAGTTATACTCGTGCTTTACATTTGAAATGGGGGAGGAGGCAAGGCCACACTAAAAAAACCTAAAAAATGGAGGAGGGCACAGTTTGAGAAAGTTTGGTTCTTTAAATTAAAAGCATGCTGTAGTATTACTGTAGTGTCATCTACCATAGCCAATAATGTCCTCTGCACCTAAACAATAGAAACAAGTAAATTATTAATCATTCACACAATATCACAAGTTAAAAACTACTTAAACTACTTTGGCAGTTCTCTTTATTTGTGTATCACAGCTTTTTTGTTGCTGCTTAGATCAAATTAGCTTAGCTGTTGTCAAATTGCAAAAAATGTTTAATGCTGCACCCTGTTGGTAAACGTTATAACTTTTTAATGCTACTGAATATCATAGAACTAACTTGTTTAAAGAACAGTTGTCAAAATTCTTTAATTACTTTTCAATATGAATACTTATAAAGTTAACATGGAAAACTCCAGACCCACTGGGGCGGAGTCCAAAAAGATTTTTCGAGATAGAAATATGACTATATGCTAATCGCGAATGTGAGCTACCATCATTATGCCAAATTTCAGCCCAATCGGACCAGTAGTTATTGCGTGATCGAACTTCAAACACACAAACTTTGGTAGGCATATACTCAAGGCCGTAGCCAGGACAAACTTTCGGTGGGGGGGGGGTCAGGTCTTCTTTTTAAGTGGCGGTTCTAGGACCTTGTCAAGGGGGCTCCCGGGGGGCTTGGGGGGGGGGTGTGGAACACTCCCAATATAAGAGCGGGGTCTGGGGTAAAAAAATATATAAAATTGTTTATATTTTTAAAGTAGTTTAGTGACTTTCTAAAGCAATTTTGGTCTTAAAAAGTGGTCTTTAAATAATTAAAACGAACCCCCCCCCTAATATAATTTGACCATTACAATGTCAATTCGAGTTAAGAATTAGACTGACATTTACTCAATAAACAATCTCGAATCATGGCTATTTACCAATGGACTGATTATTAAACGGAAGGGAAGGACTGAAAATAGAAAAAAGCTTCTTGTTTACGAGAATTTAAAGCCAAGAAAACCTATATTAGATTATTGATTGACCCCGATTATTCCATTCAAAATTGATTAATTTACCAATTACGATACCGTACTCACGCAAATTACTCGACCGACAAGATATTTAATTGCTTAATTACAAGCCAATCATCGGTCCTAGGTTAAGAAAAGAACACGACTTTCGGCTTTTAAAATAATGTTTTTTTTACATATTTAGGTCGTAAATTATATCGTAGATATAAAGTCAATGATTATATCAATGGTTACCCGGTCAAACAGGGTAGTCATGTTTCAGCTTCTCAAAAATCGCTGCGAGAACGTATAAGCGGATACACAGCTTTCTTTGTTAACTAGCGCGGATTCAAATCGTAGAACTGTCCTTTTGTTTAGTTTTTAACTGGGTATTTTTTTTAACTGAAGATAAATTTGTTTATTGGGGCTTACTTATTTTAAAATACAAATAAATAAAGAAACGACGATGGATTTAGTATATGTCGAGGCTAGTGACATCCAGCGGAGACTAGACGAACTGTTGCGGACACACCTAGCGGAGATTAGATGAACTGTTGCGGACCTTCATGTCATGTCAGTGACACACCTAGCGGAGATTAGGCGAACTGCTGCGGACTTTGATCTCGTCAGTCGTCACTCAGTGCAGTGGACTGGACAGTGGACACCGCGGCAATGAATACACAAACTATAGACGGTGAGCGAGCAACTTCGAACGTGATGATAAATAGTGATAATGACGTAACTTAACTATCAACTAACGTATAATATCGTAACGATTGTAAAGCTGTCACGGCACTTTATTAGTTTCCATGTAGCAGCAAACCTAGGTACTCAATAAACCTAATGTTAACAACATTTAAATTACATTTTTTAAATTAAATTAAATTAAAACAAGATTTAAAAATTCATTTCCATTCTAGCTCCTGAACTGTTGTATTCAATATAATAATTAGGTTACATACCTTATAAATCCGACAAACAGCTCAATTTGAAAAGAAGGTTGTTTACATGTTTCGGCTTGTATCGGCCATTGTCAAAACATCGCAGTTGGATGGTGAAATCCTTTGCATTGTTTCCTACTAAAAGTACATACACAAACACACACACGGACGGGACGAAAACATTACGAAAACGAAAATACTTTCTAATAGGCCTATTATAATACACGGGCAGGACGCACGCACACCGTTGGCAAGGTCAGGATGCAGACCAGTTGGTCTTGTCTGTTGACAATGGCCGATACAAGCCGAAACATGTAAACAACCTTCTTTTCAAATTGAGCTGTTTGTCGGATTTATAAGGTATGTAACCTAATTATTATATTAAACAAGATTTAATTAAAAATCAATTCAGGCAAATGGAAATTCGCTTAGACGGAAGGTTTGCTGCGGCGGGGGTACAGTATTTGCTTATTTCTGTTAGTTATTTATGTCAACTGAATTAGTTATTACTGTCGACTGTGTGATTAGTTAGTTTGTACAACTTTGATCGTACAAACAAGGAATTGTTCAACTTCCTCACAAAATCTGATATTGAATTCAATTTCGTCTCGTATAGGGAAAAGAACAAGAAACAAAGGGACAGGGAGATTATAAGAAGCTTAAATTGTAATAATGGTTATGGGAAATACAGTATTGAACTTGTCGATGTGTTGTTTTAGGAATGACAAGGTGTTGTAAATGTAAATGGATGGAAACGTTTAAGATGTTTGAAGTTTGAAAAACCGGTTTGCAAGTTTGTCGTCTTTTTAAAGAAAATATAGCTCTAATTGCCCGCTTCTGCAAACGGAATAGAAATAAGGTTCACTTATTCTCATACACCCATATGATTGTTTTTGATTACAACTATACATTAGCTAATTTTAATTAAAATGGACTACACAATTATTTTGGTGAATTTCCCATATAGGGAATAAGCTACCGTACGTCTCATGGTAAGACCTAGACCCGGGATTGTTTACTTTTTCGTTTTGAGTTACAGTTTATAAGTAATTACATTTTTTTGTGACTTTCCCAATAAATTATCAAGGTTAAACTTTCACTGCTAACCCATGAACGTTGTCCCATGTTTGTCCCCCATAAGGGTTGTCTACAAGCTAGAGAAACCGTGTCAGATTGATGATAATCTATACCTATAAAAGGCAAAGCCCTCACTGACTGACTCACTCATCACTAATTCTCCTACTTCCTACTTACCTAGAAGACTGAAATTTGGTAATCTAAGTAGTTTTTATTCTGATCTGACTTTCGTACTCCCGCCCCAGTGGCTCTGGAGTTTCCCATGTTAAACTTATGATTTTTAATATTTAAAAGGAATTAATGAACCCTAATAGCTGTTTTAGTTAAACAAGTTGGTTTTGGTTCTATGATGTCATAGACAAAAAGAATTAAATATTTATTATTTAATTATTTTTGTCTATGATTATGTTCAATAGCATTATATATTCACAAGGTTATACATCGATCTCTATTATTACTACAGTTTACCAAACAGGGTGCAGCACTATGAACTTTTTGTTTGAATTTATGATGAAATCAGCTAATTTGAAGAAAAAAAACAGCAACAAAAAGTTGTGATACACAATTAGAACAGTCCAATACTAATTGTTGTGGTATTTTGCGAATAGGGTAGTTTTATATCCAAGTGCATAATTCATTTGACTTTATTTTCCCCCAATTTTTTATAAAAAAGATCTTTTCCATGAATAGAGCCAATAGCACAGGCCTATAAAAGGGTGAGCGAACAAATACAAATTACAAGATTTTTAATATAAAAATGTGGGGATACATCAGAAGAACAAAATGTACACTTTAATTTAATGTACACTGGTAAAAAAAAAACATTGTTTATACTTTTAAGTGTGATTTTGTAACAGATTTGACACCAATTTGCAACCAGCCCTGTTCAAAGAAAAATTGGCATATACGCCTCAAACTGTAGATAGTAATCTTTTATTTTAATACTCTCTTAGAGCTGACAGCTTATTAAGTCCAATGTTGTTCTTCGAAGTAACGATGAAAAGCCACTCGAAATGCCACCCAATCCGGTACGGCAATCAATAGTTTTATTGATGTTTTTGAGGTCAAACGGACCCCCCCCCCCCCCCCGGTAACAGCCCCCGGTTGCCGGGTAACAGTTATTAATAAAATACTTTGCAAGAAAAAAATAAACAGCTGACATGAGTTTTTTGTTGGTTAAGTTCAGGTTTGATAAACAAAATTATTTTTTTTTTCTAAAATTTAATCATTCAAATATTACAAAATTAACAGCTGAACCTTATCTATTCGAAAACAAATATTTACATAATCCATAGCAACTAATGGTAAAATTAAAACATACATACTACTATCTCGCTGTAAAGAAATTGCCTATAAAACATTCAAATAACATTTTGAAAGATAGATTGATAATAAAATTACCTGAGATTATTCCAAATAATAATGTTGGTAAAGCTGAATAAAAAATTAAATATTTTTAACACAAAATATCTTTTCCTACAGTAACCTAACAAAGGTTACTGCACTACTACACTACAACTTTCATACTACAGTATTTTGGTTGGACAAAACATTATAGTCCGTTATACTCAGTTTAAGAAATTTATGTGGTTGTTTCATAGTTAGGGTGAAGTGGATGGGCTGGAACCGCTTCACCTCAGACCACTAAAATTTTGTGGACAGAGTTTAAGACATTAATTGATTGTATTGGAAAACTAATGCCACAAATGAGTAAAATGAGTTCCCTAACACATTACATTTCGCTAAAATAGTTTTTCTTGTAGAATCATTTAAAATATGTACAAATATAATTTTTCCAAAAACTATCTATCACTTTTCCTCTTTTTCTTGTAACTCTCCTCAATGTCCTGCATTGTCCTTCCTTCGGTCTCGGGAAGGTAGAAGTAGAAGAAGATGAACCCAACAACACTAAAGCTTCCGTATAGATAGAACACTCCGGACAGAGTTAACGTCTTCTCCAACACAAGAAACGTTTTTGTTGCGATGAAGCCGAAGACGTAGGAAATACCGGCTGCTACACCACACGCCATACTGCGCCCTCTAAACAGAACACGAGAAATGAGATAAAACAGTCTTAAAATTACCTGAAGCAGCTATATTTGGATTAGCAACACCACGGAGAAGGATTAGTAGCAGAGGTACGAAGGATACAAAGATTAAGGAACGACCGTGCGCTTTCATCTGGTATGTTGTGCCAGAAATATAGTTATGACGAGCAAAAAAGAGTCAGAGTGGCCAGAACCGTGTGGAAATTCCTATCACACATGGTCTTTCTTCACCCTGATCGTTAGTACTTGATGTTGAAGGTGCGGTGTTGGACTTTGCCCTAGACACCACTTAGGTAACTGAGTGTTTCCTCTCTTTGGTAACACCTTACAGATTATGTAGTCAATACTCTTTTTATTATTTTTTTTTACTTGTTTTACTTTGCAAAACCGGATGTTTCTCCTAGAAACATAAAATGCAGTAGTAAGCTTGTAAGGCCAGCGAGCTTGTGAAAATTAAATAACCTAGCAGCTGTAAATACTTGTGGATTCGTTAATTGTTTAACTGTTACTATTATTGATATACTAAAAAGATCCTATAGTAATGAACAAGTTAACACATGGCTGTGTCAGGATTGGACCTGTACCCTAAGCTGACTTTGGTCCACATTAGAATTTGCAGCTGCTGTTTCCTTTACTGTCGTTCAACAGAACTCACATTTGCTGGGAGCCCAATAGCACGAGGAATATTTTTAGCGAATTTCCCATATAGGGAATAAGCTATTACCGTAGTACTCACGGTAAGACCTGGACCCGGGACCGATTTTTTTTTTCGTTTTGAGGTCCCTAGAGGTCAAAAACACCATCCGTTCAAATTCATATATATATATATATATATATATGTGTCCGTTAGCGCGATAACTCGAGCAAAAATGATCCGATTTTGATGAAATTTGGTACAAACGTGTAAACCTACGTTTATTCGAACGAGTTCGCGAACCAGCATGATCGGACCATGGGAACGGGGGTTTATGGGGGCTTTTATGGGGAAAAAATGGGTTTATCCCATTTTTGACCCAAAAAACATAAAATTTTGCAATTTCTTTTGAAACTATTTTGTAGAGCTTAAAAAAACAAATAATTTAGTATATTGAAGCGTTATAATGCGCCTAATGGTTACGGAGAAAATTCCAAAAAATTGTAAATTTAAAATTCCCATGTTATTCTTATGGAGAATAAGTAAACTGTTGTAGTTTGCTTGTTTATAAACATATTTTGCCCAAATTTGGAAAATGTTTTTATTTCTTACCAACTATTAACATTTTACATAAAAAACACTTTTACCCTCCCTGTTGCAGCAAACCTAAGTATGTTTTAAACTGATTCTATTTAAATAGGGAATAAAAATGTGATAATTTTAAGGAGACATTTTAGTGTAAATCCATTCAGGGAAATGGAAATTCGCTTAGTCTGCAGGTTTGCTGCGGCGGGGGTATTTTATATATAAATATAATAAGTTAAACAATGTAATACTGTGGTTTTTATAAAGACTTTTGTCTATTTGTAAACAAATTTTAAAAATTGATCAATGCATACATATTATTATCTGTAAAAAGTAAGGAAAAAATACAAGCCCACTTTTGTAAGTGATACGCCATGGTCCTAGATATAATTGTGCCCCCTCCTCCTTGAGGAAGAATTTTCCTCTTTCTTACACCCCCAACAAATATAAAACCCCTTGCGCCCCTGCACTTGGGCCAATTTATTAAAGTGGTCCTGATATATATAAATGTTGACTGACATAGATTTTTAGAAAAGCCACGATATCACATCGTTTTATTTGTACGGTAATATTAGAGACAATATTGTTAGGGTTCCAAATGTGAGTTGAGTCAAAGGGAAGTAAAGGAACCATACCTGGGAAGAATTACACATGTTAGCATATCAACATATAGACATAAGAGTTAACTTCTTTTAAATGAAACGCCAAAATAATCATACCTGAAAGGAAAGACTTCGCTGAGATACATCCATGGCAATGGATCCATTCCGATCCCAGTGAAGAAGGCGAGGGCGACCATCATGACCATCGGCATCCACGCGTGTTTGTGGCCTTCGAGCTCATCTACGTACAGTGCGTAAGTACCGAGGGAGAGACAGCTGACGGCACAGCCCAGAACTGATATGAGACCCAGGGGTCGCTTGCCGATGAAACGGACAGTGACGGTGCACAGGACACAGCCACCCAGCCCGATAGCCGTGAAGACTGTCTGCAGAAAATGTTTACATGACATACTCTGTTAAATATTAACATGGCTAGATTTATCATTGTCATACTTTTCATTTAAATTGTGATCATACAACGTAAGTATTTTAAGCCAAGTATGAATGGAGAGATGATTGTAGGATGAGTGGCGCGATCTTGCAGTCTTGTTAGTGACTAAGGCTGACATATTCCTTAGACACAGCTGTTAATTAATAGCCCATACACCTAATGACAACTATGGGACCTACAGTTTATAGTGGAATCCGCACCACATTTTTGCCTTGGTATTAACGAATTGGTCTAATTTTCAGGATAGTACTGCGGATAGTCATAGTACTCAATAGAGCGGACCACACCATCATCATCCACACCAGGAAGTATCACATCCACAGTCCATGCCTATAAATACCCACAATTCGTGACCTCCTAGTAGCTGGATTACAGGACGATGCCACCGTCCCACTCATCATCATGATCATGGATTACATGATAGTTTTAATGTTCATTACAATATTAGTTAGTGCAATGAGGGTAGTCTTCAGGCTTTTCTTTTCAAACAAAAAATTGTGATTTCTCAGCTATTTATTAGTTACTAGTGCACCTGTTGCTCGAAATCGAGCAATTGCAAATTATTACGGGCCCTTAAAAACGAATAACAGTCATAATTTAGAGAATGTAATCAATCACTCCACTCCAGTTATCAAAACTTAAAATAAGCTCACTCTGAAAACAAATGCCCTTGTGTGTATCATGTGTTCACTATGAACAGATGTAATACTGTAAAATACAAATTATTCGTTTGTTTATGAAAACAAAATCGTTTCTTCATAAGAAATACATTGGGATTTCGATGGCCTGAGGTGCAAAGCCCGGAGACTTATATTACAGGAATTGGTGAAAGGGGGCGTCTACACAAAAAATACTTAATTTTGACATATCGGTTGTAAAAATCCGTCCATTATTAACGGAGGAGTAGTGTTTCGTAGAAATCGCCTTCACGTATTATATTTAAGGATATGATCTTTTGCTGTACTTGATGTAGTTGGATAGGAAAATGTAAATGCTAAATAAAAGTTGTTTTTGCCTTTTTCGTATACATTCAAGCATATTTTTTAGTAAAGACATTAAAACAGACACAATTTTTATACAAAAAATTATATTCCATGAATAATTTTTATGCTACCTTAAATTGTACTAAATTTCATAAAGATATGTGCTTCTGTTATAGTATCTGATATAAACCTTAATTAGAAACAAATAAAATTGTGGATATCTCTTTAATTAACAAGAAGTATTTGGAAAACACGTTATACTTGATTATATTAGTATTTTGACCCACAAAACCTACTCCTAAAGTTTCTGCACTTACCTAGACGATGCCCAAATACAAGAATAAATGGTTGGTCATAGTTAACCATCAATGTTAACAGTCAATAATTAAATAATTTACATTGTGAGCATTTGAACTGAGATATTCTTACACTTTTAGAATTGCAAGGTACTCACTGTTGCTAAATAAGGATCCATAATAAGCCCCAAGTTCATGAAAACTGGCACCATGTAAGGTCTGATTGCGAGCATTCCAGAGCCGTATGTGAAGAAGAAGAAGGAACAAACCAAAAACATCGGCATCATCATCTCTTGACGACAAAAGTCCCTCAATCTCTCCCTGAAGGGTAATTTCTGTTCAACCAAAGACTCGATCGATTCCTTCTCCATACCGATCGTCAAGTCGTTCAGTTGGGCTTTCAAATCCATTTTCTTTTGCTCGCAGCTTACAGAAACTTCGGTTGAACCGTCTGCACTTTTAGTGTCTGTTGGATGAGTTTTCGGAGACTTCTCATCAGTTAGGTCTACCTCATTGGCATAAGCTTGTTGCTCCAAGTCGCACTTGGACATTTTGGTCAGTACTTTGCTGGCGAGGCTGTACCTCACCATCTCGTCAAACTCGTTTTGTACCTGATCAGGAGTCACCCACCCTCGTAACCAGCAGAGAGCCTTCAAAGCCTCCTCGGAATTACCCTTGGATAACAGCCAGATGGGAGTCTCTGGAATCTGCAGAGAAAAAGTGTTGGGTAAAAATCAGAAGTTGAACAATTTTGTGACAATTACCTTAAACAATCAGTTCGGGGGCAAAGAGGGGCACAGCCTTACGAGGAAAGAGAAAACAAAATGCATTATGGGTAGAAAAACATATTTTTGTCAAAAATATCCAATAATTTGGTAAATCAATTCTTCAACAATAGCAATGTTCAAACTAGAGTATTTCTAGGGCCATTTAGACATAATCTCTTTCATAATTATGACAAATCAAAAATCACCCCAATAATGCAGTAAATATTCTAAAATTTCCGATTTAAGTAAAAAAAAGTGAAAATTTACAAAACTTTACGATTTGATCATTTACACTCATTTAACTATAACAAAGCAAAGCATTATTTTAGCTAAATACAACTACGTTAACTTTTATTCTAAAAACTGGCTATGGCTTCAACAGTGACGTCATAGTCAAAAGAATCTACGCTTTCTGTTATTATCTCACCTGTAGAAGGGATAGACAGCTGACGACAGGTACCAACGCGCTGATGAGTGCGCTTGTCCGCCAATCAGTGACCGTCCCCAGGAAGAACATGAACACGAAGCCCATGTACTCTGCGATCTCGGCCATCGAGGTCAACGTTCCTCTCAACTTGGGCTCACTAATCTCCCCCACATACGTTAGTATTGAGGCTTCTATCGACCCTATACCTGTGAATTGTATCATGTTATATTGACAAATTTGATAAAACTACCATCAATATATCTTGATCTATTAACAGAAGTATATCTCTCATTCCCATAAAGCTGTAACCAATAAAAAAAAATAGTTGAATTGAGCTTCCAGAATTGCATTTTGATGTCTCTTGAGTATATTATTTTTGTACTAAGTAAAAATTAAAGAAAAACTTTATTTTAAACAAGAGTTTTTTTTCAAGCAACATCAAATATCCTATAGTATCAAAATATAAGGGAGCAAATATCATCTTGAAACAGCACACACTTTTTCTGTGGTTATTCTACTTTGGTGTATTGTAAAAAGAAATTGGATACAGCTGGTCTATATGGGTAGTATTTGTACTTCATCATCTAAAAGTCAAAGGTAATATCCTCTCAAGGACTAATAAAGTAGTTGAAGGTTACAAAGTAGAGTTTACAAGTTAAACCTTGACTTAACTTATTCCAGGTTCATATCTGACTAAATCAGCTGATTATTTAGTGTAAACAGCTTGTGTATTCTTATAACTTGTGTTATTAGGATGAGAAATATTCGTTTTCACCCTTATATATCAACTATATATCAAATATATCACGGTTTTGTATGTCACGAAGTGACGCAGGTTGCTAGTTTGGCTTTAAAAAATAGTCCTAGCTAATGAACCAGCTGTTCTAGTCAGTAACGAATATGTCATACCATCCATCCATACAAGACTTAATCCTTCAGTTTATAGCCTTTTTAATATGCACTCTCTGGTGCGCTGTTGCAAATATCTAACCTCAAAGAAACTATGCCTATTGAAAGGATTAATTTTCATTTACTTACCCAGTCCCATGATGCCGCTAAGCACAAACAACATAGTGACCGTCTGTGTGTAGTATAGGGTCACCCAGCAGCAAAAGAATGGGATGTTGAGGAAGATCATGGCTCTTTTGCGGCCGAGGTAGTCGAGCGTCACCGCAGCTGTGAGGCTGCCCAGCGGCTGACAGAAGTACACGATACTGCCTACGCAAACATGTCCATCATCCTTCGGAAATACAGTATTTGTTACTTTGTTACCCAAATATGAATTGAGGATGAGTGCATAAAGCCTTTCTTAGGGCTTTTAATATATGATCCTGGCCAACAAAAAGCTGTTCTTAGAATAGAGAAGTGAGGTAGAGGGAATATTCAATGATACAAGTGATGTCTAGCACTAGTCGCTGGTGTTTAGGACAAAGTCAAACACCGCTACTCTCGGACTCATGTACTGCAACGCTCACGGTGGAGGAAGACCTGAGCCCTGTGCGATTGAAATTTCTGCACAGCGCTAGCCGCTCAGGCTCTTCCTTTGCTCGTCACAAGTATATTTTGAGCACAACATACAAGAGATGAAAGGTACACAGCTGTGCCATGAGTGAGTTTCCTCTGTTCTTCATCTAGGTATCTTACTACTCTGTGGTCTCAGCCAGTACCAAAACTCCACCGATCATTTTTCTTCATTCTACACTTACACTAACAGTGTGAAGCTGCCATAGAGACACAAAAAACTCCTAGAGGTGTGTAATTTAAGCTGAATATAAATGCCTGGGTGTGAGATGCCTTTAGTTTGATTTCAGGCTAAGATCAGCATTTTCTTTGGCATGGACCATTTATTGAAAGCACAATAATCAAATATAGTAGTTGTTTTAGCGTGTTTATAAAGAATAAGTTATTACCGGTCTCTTGCTAAGACCTGGACCTGGTGCCAATTTACTTTTTTCTTTTAATGTCCCCAGAGGCCAAAAACACGATCCTTTCAAATGCATATACTATAGGTGCCCGTTAACACTATAACCCAAGTAAAAATTATCTAATTTCAATGAAATTTGGCACAACCAAACTATAGGAACGGCTTTTTATGGAGTTAAAATTTAGTTTCTGAATAACATAAATCTATAATGAATACTGTGTGTTCTTAATGTTTGTTTATAATGTAATTTTTTGTGTAATAAATTCAATTTCAAAAATAACTACAGCTGAACCATTATTACATATGGGATGTACATAACATGGGAAGTACATGTACATATGGGATGGTTGATGAATGTATTGAATCAACAATGGCTCGCTAAACATAGGAGTTAAATTCTTCGACAACTTTGATTGTCATACTACAGTACTCCATTTCACACCTTACGTGTCACATTCATAATAAGAAATTACTTGTCTGGAACTACTTTAGCAAAAACTATTGTTCTTGACAATATTTGAAGTTTTCAATCTGTCACTCCATCCAATGTCATGGTGCCAAGACAAGTCTGTTACGTAATACAAGATTGTTTGATAACCAATCTCATCTCAACATTATTCAATACTTTAACTGCTTCCAGTCCAACAAGCATTGCCACTGACTATGTAACTGTTAACATGGGAAATCATAGGTTTCTTCCAACACCATTCCTAATAAACTAGGATTAGAATTGTGCATTGGTTTCAATATTAGTACACTATCATCATTCATAAACCTGATCAGACATTTTGTTCCTAAAACTCGTTATATTTTGTATTCAAATAGTTGTAAAATATATAGGTAGTTATTTAAATGGTGAACATATCCAACAAGTCGAAGAAAAATTTGAGTAAAAACCCAATCAGACAAATGGAAATTTGCTTGGTATGTAGGTTTTCTGTGACAGGAATATTATTTCACCAGCATAAAGTATAGTCTTAAGAGTGGAAAAACTCACCAAACCACGATGCTTGCGACATTGTGAATTTGAGCCCCTCCTTAGAATGCAGCAGAGGAGGAATAACTATGGTGGGGAAGGCGATCACCATGCCAAGGTCTAGGAGAAGGAGGTTTTTAGCAAATGCAGCAAGGTACTGAAACAAAGGGGTACATTCATATAAGACAAGTAAAACTACAACCTGTACAGTGGTTTTTGAGTGTACTGTACCACAGATAAGTAAGGTCTAGAGGAAACTTGCTCGTGATGACTGTGAGCTTTCAGCTCTGGTATGTTGTGGACGAGCATCTAAAAGCTAGAGCGACAAGCACTGTGTGGAAATTCCTATCGCACAGCGCACAGGGTCTTCCTCCACCTTAAGCGTTGTAGTACATGATGGTGAGAGGGGCAGTGTTGGACTTTGCCTCTAGACACCAGTGACTATATAGTGCTGGACACCACTTAATTGTACCATGGGATGTTTAATCTGTTCCTTTCTTCCCTGTGGCATGTACTTGATCTAGTAGATAAGGGATTTCTTCAAAACAATATTTCCCAGTAATAGTTATAAAATGTTTAAACCAGTATTTAAAGCTTTTCATTTACACCCAGCCTTCTTCGTGAACCTTTATTAACAATCCTGGCCCCAGCAATCTTGGCTTTGTTGCTTTTGTCAGCATTTCAATAAAAATGGAAGAGGGGTGCATTTAGCAGATTGCATTATTAATGATAATAATTACTTTTGATTTGCCATTATATATAAACATAGCAAATTTCATGGGGGAGGCCTCCAGGCCCTCTTCCTGGAGGGGAACACCCTGTTAGCCCCCCCCCATAACAAGGTTCTAGAACTCCCACTGGTTGTTATAGTGTTTATTGGTTTGCTTCAAAACAATTCAAAAGATTATTGATGGTTCCGGAACTGCATCCAGCTGTTCAAATTTTGGACTGATGACATTAATCAGCTGATCTTAGTCAGTGAACTAGGTGAAAAGTGCACAAATATTATGATTAATATATGTAGTTTACTTAATTGCATCTTTTCTCAGTATTACTTTTCATTACTAGGCCAATCATCTAATCTAACATACAATTTAGCAGCTATGGCATCCATGTTTTACTACTTATCCCGGATCCTGGCAAAGGATTGTACACCCTTTTAAAAAAAAACTAAGATTCGATAAAAGCATTTCTGATTGACTCTGAGGAAATTCCTTACATTTTTATTATTCAAAACGTATCCAGCTGTCAATCCCAAAAAATGGTAGGTACTGTATTTCTCCAAACAGATTTTCTCAGTCATTATTAAAGTAACACAAGTCATCTCATTCCATTGTTAAAAAAACAACACACTGCACACCTTGGGTCTTTTTCCACTGTTGTTCAGCCTACATTCATTTTAGACTAAAATATGCCATTGTCTTAATTGGGATATAATTTGATAACTGGATTTCTGTTCTAAGATTACATGGAAAATAGAGAAATTTTCTTATGAAAACAATTTTTTTATTATTTTACGGTATTGTAAAAGGGATGGTTCAATTATTTACCTGTGGAAGAGCTCGCCTCCATTGGCTAACTGGTTTACTCTCTGCATATTTCAGATGTTCTTTCTCCTTTTCGGAAATTGAAACTCCTCCGTTCTTGAGTTTGGCGCCTGGGACGACCCCATTTTGAGTCTTTGCCCCACCAGTCCTGTAAAAAGTTAGATAATACCATTATCATTGAGTTTTTAAGCTACTCTGGATTGAGTTTACAAGTTTATTCTAAATCTTATTCATAAAGTAAATTTGAGAATTACTGGGATGTTAAAGTAATATGAAGAAATATTCTTCCCTACGTTGTCAGTTTTTAGGACTCCTTCTTTACCTAATAAATCATTTTATAGCAATATATATTTTCCTGCAATTATCAATGCTGAAGTTATCGATCCAAAACAGTGTTTACAGTCACAAAAATTGTTTAAGCTAGAAATAATCCCTCGAATTCTGCAGCAAATAAAAATTTGTTGAATATTAAATTGTTGAAACCCCTCTTCCTTTGAAACCAAAATTGGTTGTAACCGAAAACAAAACCAAAAACTCTCTATAATAAAACTACTGTAGGTTCCAAAATCAAATAATGAACACAACTCTTTTTTTTAGCAAAATGTTAGTCTTGAATTCTTTGGTAAATATTTTCTTTCTAATGTTCTAGAAATATGGTAAAAATAAGTTTTTCCCTCACTGAATCTAGAATTAAACTACAAAACTACCAGTTAGTAGATGAGATGCCACGAGGGAGACAAAGGTTTCAATTTTCTCCATGTAAATTCATGACTAAGTTGAGTAGATTGTAGCTTCATACATAAAACATTCTGGAGCTAAGAGGACAGTTGCATGTTCCCACGGTTTTGGGGCATAATGACAATTCGGGGTGAAAATTTTGTTTAGGGAAAATCCCCAGTTGCGCTAGGCAAAATATTAAATTGACTTTTGAGTAAAAATTTGCAACTTCTTGACCAGCATTGTACATGTTGGTGAAATGAATTGGATGTAATGAAATGCATCTAACAAATATTTTTTACATGTAAACACTAAACAAAGACCTTTTATTTTATGTACATTAAGATTTTCTTCTAACTCCTAGCGGGTCATTCTCCTGAAATGATACCGTATTATATCACTGAATAATGTGTTATTTTTTATGTCCAGTAACTTTGTTCCAGATTTTGTCAAACTCTTATTTGTATTATTATTTTTTAATATTTAGCTGTTCATGTAAAAAGAGCATCTCAAATGACTTCCAACATACTATTTCACTAATGCAAACAATCAGCTGTTTAGTAAGTGATTTAATCATATCGTCTATTGAAGTGAAAAATACCAAAGAAAATTAGAAACCCATCCAAATTTCCTGGCAGTTAACCTCCTCGACAATAGTGAAGCTACATATAGGCTCAAAAGAGTTAATCCAATAGACCTTCCAAATCGTTTTTAGTTGAACTTTTTAAAAGTTTTGTATGTTAGTGCACTTGATGGAGTGTAACTAACCCATGTTAAAATGGTTATCAAATTTACTTATTATTCTAGTATAGAATAGATTGTGAATAAATACTTGTTAAAAAAAAAAAAATAAATAAAAATGTTTGTGTCAGTGCACATTATACCCATGTAATGAGACAAATCATATTTCATAACACTTTAGACAACAATGTAACAATAAGCTGCAACTGATTAAAACAATCTATAGATTTTTTTCGATACAAGCAATTGCTTACAATAAAAAAATGCTTACAATCAAAAATTACAATAACAGCTGACTTTTACTCCCTAAGGACTAAACAACATTTTTACTACCAAGGGAGAAAAGAGCTAATTAAGATCAGCATTGCATGTATAAAACAGCTGTTTTGCTGCAGTATGTTGATCACTTGTTTTAAAGAATATTTATTTTAATTTACTGGTCATAATATGAAAGTTTGATAATATGAGTAATTAATCGAGTGGAAAATCCCTTATACTGATCCGCAAAGGATTAAACGAAACGGAGCTAATATAGCTGCGCTACTTGACCTCAAAAAGCGCTGCTATTCTTTTGCCAGGCGAGAACTTTAGCTCAACTTTAGCATCGTGGTGGTAGTTCTAGCTAAGGTTGGAAGCAATTTTATAGGATGTTGGTTATTATTTATTTTTTATGCTTGAAGAGAAGGACACAACTATCAATGTTCATATTTTGATTTAGGTTATTACTCCAAACTTTTAATAGTTTGTAAAACTCATAGATACTGATAACTATCTGTAGCAGTAATATAAAGTCAAAATTACAATTTCTATGTTTACAATATGTTTTCTTAGGTTTCTATGGATATTATTAATCTCATACCATAAACAAAAAAAAAATAAAATAGACCATCAGCCATGCTGCGGTTACCATAGGATTTTTTAGGTTCTGGCGCACACTGCGGGGGGTGCCATGTCGTTACGGCTTACGCGCTACGTAGCTACACGGCGCTGCCAGCGGTGTGCGCCAGAACCTATGGTATCTATGGTAACAGCAGCACGGCTGAAAGTCTATATTTAATTCTTTTTGTCTATGATAAAACTTTACTTCTCAAATTTCTCTATGATATTCAAAGAGTCACTAACTAATTCATTGTATAGTTGTGTAACCATAATAAATCCGACACTATGAGTAATACAAGATTATTTGTCAAAGTGATTAGTCAAATGACCAATCAGAATCAGATAAGAATACTGCATGTCTGGAGACCATTGGGGTTTACAAATTAATGCTCGATTTTCGTTAGTCTTGTAGGGAAATTGATTTTACAATTTGTTATTTTCCCAAAACAATCTAATATTTGTTGAAAACAAACCCAGGTAAATCCTGAGACTATTTCAACGTGTATACATATCCTACTATGTTTAAGTTCGTTTATGTCAGCCAAATGTTCCTCCATCACGTTTTTACTTTTACCCATACACATGGTGTATAAAGAGATAAAATTATTGTTTCGTCAAATATTTCGAGTTTTGAGTTTTTGGGGGAAATATTGCTTCATCATAATTAACTAAATATCATATTTTTTGGGCTCCTCTGAACTCAAAAAGGTGGTTTTTAAGCACGATAGCTGTGATTGTGTGCGTCTATGAGTGTGTGGATGTGTACAGAGCTACCGACTATATATCTGGGGTGATTTTGATTAATATGAATTTAGGTACTAATCCGTTGTACCCCCAGATGTTTTTTTATATTTTTTTTTAATAGGTGTTTTTTTCCTTTAAAAGCCATAAATTAACCGAAAATCCGATTTTGACCAAAAGAGCAAAAAGAAAATGTATTACAATTTAGTTAGTGATGGTCCTTTTCACTTTAAACGAAATGGAACAACCCACCAATGCTATCAAAATCGTTTTTCAAAAATTATTCCAACTTTTTTTACTTTCCCTATGAAATACCATGGTTAATCCCATTTTCCCATGATAATGTTGTTCGGAAGCTAATAGGAGAAAGTTGTGTAAGTTTGCTGATACCGTGTTTATTCTATTGCCCAGTAATTGGTTACAGCAAGTACTTGTGTATCGTTGACATAATAGGAAAAGTGAAATTAAGTGTTTTAATTAATTGGTATTGTTTTTCAAACATTGCAATATAAAAAATCAAGGCAAATCAATAAGGCAAATCAGTTGTTTATAACTAATTTCTATTTTAAAGTTAAATATATTTGTAGCAAACTTTATGCTGCGATTGATGAGTATTTTTAATAAATTAATACGTAATAGTAAAATTTGTAGAACATTTTATTCGCATTCAAAATATCAACTTCCACTTTGGTCAATTTCCTCACCATGTAAAATTTATTATCAAAAAAGCTAAACAGCCTCCAAATTTATAGTTGTAAAAAATACTGAATTAGAGACAGTTTTGTTAAACTTTGTAAAACTAAATCTACAGTTCTACTGGACCGATTTGATTAATTAATAGGTCAATGGAAAGGTTCATCCTTTTAGATTTGCAAATAATTAATGAAAGATTTATGGTAGTAATGGGTATTCATCATATGATCATAATGAAACATGTGGTTATAATTTAACAGTGTTGTATTGTTATTTCTTAGATTTTTCTTTGTTTACATGTTGTTGTTAATCATTTGCATTTGTGGTTAAATTTTGTTTATTTTGTTAAGCTCATATTTATAAAGTTATTTCCTTAATCTGTAGTAAAGCGTTGTATGCATTTCATAACCATTATTTTCCTAGAGACCGTTGTATTTAACCACAACGGGCTCTGTTGCTAGTGTCACTATTGTTTCTGTACCAGCTGATCCATAAAATACCAACACATGATTAATTTATTATTACTTAAATATTTTGATTTCAAATTGAACGTTTTCAATGGCAAGTATCGAAATTCGTGTACACCACCACGAATACACGGGTAAATATGGAAAATGTAGACTTACTGTTAAAATTGTACTGTAGATATATTTTCTTACAACGATCTAAATACAAATTATGATGATTATCGTGTCGGCTGTTAAAAAAACAATTGTTATTTGATGTTTTAAGTTTCGGACGTGTAAAATTACAACTCAGGTGAAAGTAATGTACTGGAAAAAATGCTTCCACCGTAATATTCGTTTGAAAGATAAAGTACAGCAATTTCAATCGACACTTTCATCTGACAGTTTATAAGTGCGCAGGTGTTTTCTGCCAGAAATTATTCTTGTTTGGAAAACATTTTAATTTACAAACGAAATGTGAATAGTTGTGTTCCGTCCAATGTTATTGATTAAAAGCAAGGTTTATTATACAAAGGGCGAATGCAACCTTTATAATTGAATAATTTATTATATGTTGTTTAATAGTATTCAAAGTTGTATGTACTTAGCGTTGTAATAGGTTGGTCAATTGGTCATAAAATGAATCACAGTTTGAAATTGAGCATCTATAAATATATTTTATCAAAATATCAAATTACAGTTTATAAGTTGTTTTTCACAACCAGTTTCACCAGATTATTTGTTTTAAAATATTGTTTAGTTTAGGTTTTTTTCTTGTAGTATATTGCATATTAAACTACAAAGTTTGAATGTGAATATTTTTTTGAAGATTTATATGAGACAGTTATTAAAAAAAATTCTCTTTGGACGCTTCAGACCAGTTTATACGGCTTCCAGTACGGTGAAGTTGTTATCAAAATAATTGAAGAAAAAATAAAATTTTCTATGGAAGGAGTTTTTGTATACAAAATACATTCTTCCCGATAGGGGATATTTGCTATAATATTCTCATTCCCTGATAGTTGTGTGTCTGAACTTTGTTTTCTATTGGTGGGATTTAAACCTGGGACCTTTTTATAAAACAGTTTAAATAGTCCCTATCTAAGCATAAGTCTAAGACTTGAACAAATGTGAGTATTTAACAGTTTATTAGACATATACAAATTTTAGTTTGATGAAAAGGCTTATATGACAATCTTAAATAGATAACATAAAACGTAAACGACCAAATTAATAACATATACTAATTACTTTACGAAAACTGTTCTTGACAAAGTTTTTAACCTTTGAGACTAAGAAACATTGTTATTTTGTGAAGAAATAGGTTTTCTTCTTAATTTTGCATTGGGGTGGTTATACCTTTTTCCAATGGCTGAAATTTAATTAAAACAAAAATTAACTTACGCCATATCAACGTTCACTATTTTACTTCCAGAGAAGATCACTTGCACTCATATCCACACTGTCGCTAGTGTATACCGATACACTATACACTATACAACCACACACTGTCTACACTACACAGCCTACTAGTAGCGCTATCTGTCTATCAGTAGATAGTGTTGGCTAACTAGCTACGAACCCGAAACTTGCACTGAAGGTTGTGGAAAATTAGGCGCATTTGTCGAACCATAGAAAGTATGCTTGTTCAAGGTGGAATTAGTTATTTCAATGGTGGATGTGTTTTGCTAAAATATATTTAATGTAAAAAGTATTTTGTTAGTTGAATATTTTCTAGATTAGTCAATGCTTTTAAATGATTATGTGCTTGGTTATGTTTGCAGGAACTGTCTTGTGTGTTGTTTTAAAAGAAATGGACATACTAAATCATGGTTTAGATTTTGTTATAATCCAATAATCTCAGTTCCTGTATTATCATCATCAGAATCATTATCATTATCAATTGAGACGCAGACGCCATCTAGTTGCGTATTTTTACGCATATATATGAGTGAAGGATGAGTGTATAATGGTGTGAGATGATCTGTGTAGCTTTGTACTGACTAAGATCAGCTGTTTCATTAGAATCATTATTTTAATAGCCCAATGATCAGGGACAGCTGGGTCCAGTTCCGAACCATCAAAAAGCTGCTGACTTTTCTCAGGACCTGGCACCCTTTTGATTGTTAGGAAAGCACAAAACCATTTTGCTACATCCAAAGTCATTGGTGATACCAATGATAATTTTAAAGCCCAGCAACACAATATAACTCACTTTAAATAGTAATCCGATTAACATACTACTAGCTGTTACCCACGGGCTTCACCCCGTTTGACTTCATAAGCATTAATAAAACTATTGGTCAGGTTAATCTGAAATAAACTGAACAGAATACAGTTATACAAACAAATAATCACACCTGATTTTAATAAGGCAATAAATTGAAAGAATAACATACAAATAAGTACAGCAGAGGTATTTTAAGTATATGGTTTATGGGGGTGTGACTTTTAGTTTTTTTATATTCTTGGGTAGTTTGGGATTTATATATTGATTATAACCTACCTATAAATACCGACTCTCAGCAACCTAACCTAACAGAATCCAAACAAATTTAATTATGCTACCCAGCCTAGCCCTTCGTATACCACCATATGTAATTATGATTCCGGGCCAAACGTGGTCTATCATTCTTTTTTATGAAGAATGTTTTATCCCCAACTTAGATTTCAACTTTTAATTTAGAGCATCTTTTAGCTCAGGTGTTACAATATTTAATTAAACCATAGAGACAAGAATTAAATATAGACCGTCAGCTGTGCTGCGGTTACCCTAGGTTCTGGCGCACACCGCTGGGAGCGCCATGTAGTTACGGCATATGCGCTAGCTAACTACACGGGGCTTCCAGCGGTCTGCTCCAGATCCTATGGTAACCATGGTAACCGCGGCATGGCATTGTGTTATATACTTCGATGACGGTCTATATTTAATTATTTTTGTCTATGATTAAACTCGACCCAACCTATTAAATCAATAAATAAGTTTACCGATGACCTAAATAATAAAAAAAAACATATGTAAAACCCGAGTCATAATAAAACTGAAAATGTTAAGTATGATAAGTGAAATCAAAGCTGTATTAAGACACTACTATGTAGCCTTTCGCTGTGTATATGAAATAGTGACGTGATCATGAATGTATGCATGAAAAGTTCTACTTCTTACTTAGACGTGTGTCATTGATTCGTCATGCTCAGACAACTGTGCAAAACACATGTGGGTTTTAAGTGATAAATTGGAAGTAGTGTGATGGGAATTCGTGTTTATTTCCCTACAGTCAAAGTCTAGGCAATTTTTAGGTCTTATTGGACCATACAGGTCCCCTTTTCAATGGATTTGCAAGCGTGTTAATAATTTTCGCTTTGCCAAGCGACACAGAGTGATGGTACGATTTTGACAGTTTCAAACGACCTATAAAATACCTCTTATCAGCTGTTTTTGCACGTTTTCGTTATCGTTTTAGGTTTGCTCGCGGCCTTGTTGCATTGTTTTCGGCAACAATTAACATATTTTATGTTATTCCTACCGTGTTTTGCTTGTAAAACTGTATTTTATAGTTTGCCACCAAAATATGATATGTTCTTTTGTCTACTGTTGTATTGTATTGTGAGAGGGGCGGACGGTCTTAGCACATTAACTGAATCTTATTGTGCATTGTCGATCTTAGACACTAGGCCTAAGTATCTAGTCATAGACAAAAAGAATTAAATATAGACCGTCAGCTGTGCTGAGGTAACCATAGTTTCTGGCGCACACAGCTGGGAGCGTTATATAGTTACGGCGTACGCGCTACCATGGATAAAACATACCCCATTAGTAGATTTACCATCCTCATGGAACAGCTGAAGACAATTTTACTGTTAGTTCTGTCCGGTGTACTATAGAGTCGTGTTTTGTTTACAATTCGTTTCTTGCTATTTCAGTAATTTAAAACCTCGTTTGGTAAAATAAAACTATCTAATCATAAACAATAACTTGTCCACTAGCTATATAACCAAACAGTGAGGCACAAATCATGAGAAACTACCCCTAAAATAATAGAAACAAATTGTAAACAAAACACGAAATCTACAGTAGTACACTGGACAGAACTAACAATAAAATCGGCTTCAGCTTTTCAATAAGGATGGGAAATCTACCAAGGGAGTATATTTTATCCATCATAGACAAAAAGAATCTATATATACATTATATACGTGTCAGATAATCTATATATATAAAAGGAAAAGCCCTCACTGACTCACTCACTCATCACTAATTCTCCCACTTCCCATTTACCTAGGAGGCTGAAATTTGGTACACCGATTTTTCAGGCATTAAATAGGAAAACTAAGCTGTTTTTATTCTGATCGGACTCTCGGGCTCCGCCCCAGTGGCTCTGGAGTTTCCCATGTTAACCTTATGAGTTCTCATATTTAAATGGAATTAATGAATCTTAACAGCTGTTTCAATTAGACATGTTGGTTCTGTTCTATGATGTTCAATAGCATTAAAGTTACAAGGATTACCAAAAGGGTGCAGCACTATTATTTCTTTTACATTTATGACATCAGCTAATCTGCAACCAAAAGGTGAGTGAGCGTAGCGAACGAACTTCAACCTGGAGGCGAGTTAGCGTAGCGAACGAGCTAACCCGAAGGCAAGTGAGTGCAGCAAACGAGCTCCAACCTAACGGTGAGTGAGCGTAGCGAACGAACTTCAACCAGAACGTGATTGAGCCATGCGAACGAGCTCACTTATGAAGTTAAACGGGGCAAAGCCCGCGGGTATAGTTAGTTAAATATAAACTGTCAGCTGTGCTGCGATTACCATAGGTTCTGGCGCACTCCACTGGGAGTGCCTTGTAGTTATGGCTTTAGCGCTACGTAACTACACGGCGCTCCCAGCGGTGTGTGCCAGAACAGCCAGGACCTATGGTAACCATGGTAACCACAGCACGGCTGACAGTCTATATTCAATTCTTTATGTCTATGGTTTTATCTATGGCGCTACGTAACTTCACGACGCTCCCATGTTTTTTACCAAGTAAATCTTTTGGAATGACTTATTATAAGCTATAGCAACTGTTATGACCCATCAACTTTGTCAGCAACAAAAAGTAAGGTAGAAAATGGAATGTTAGCTAAGCATTCTTTGACTGGCTCTCACAACTATACGTTTTTTAATAAAAAAATACGGAATGTCTACTTTAGTATGCAATAGTCAATAAGTGTAAATTACATATTTTTGGTCGAGTTTTCAACCACTAGACAACCACTAGCTCTGAGTTAAACTCCCAACTCAAAGCATGAAGATTTCCAGGTTTATAACAAATTATACGGATAAAAATTATAAGAATTAAACATTGCCAAACCTGTATCAGCCAAGGTCCAGCTGATAAAAGTTGGAGTGGCTTTCAACAGATAATGATAAGTCAGAAGATAACTCTCAATGATGCTCCACAGTAGAGCCCAACCCATCAAGTGCTCAACTACTATGCGTGATATATCTTATATTTGGTGTTAAAATTCTAGCTAAAATGGCAGGTGCAAGTGGTACAAATGAAAGTTGTAAATCCATTTTAACCACAGTTGAAAAATGTGTCGAGTGTCCGGTGTGTTTAGAAACTGCAAAAGTGCCTTTTAAACAGTGCTCTAGAGGTCATATTGTATGTATGACGTGTACCACCAAGATAAGTAAATGTCCAACATGCGAAGGGACGTTCACACAGGAAAATCCAGTTTGTGTAAAAAATATACTGGAAGCTCTGCCTCGCCATTGTGTCTACAGTGAAGATGGATGTGAGGAAATTGTGGAACCAGGTAATGATCATGAGGAGTTCTGTGGATACAGACCGTTGGTTTGTAGATCTTTGTTCAGCGGCTGTTCTGTTAAAATGCCAGGTGTGAAGCTGTTGGATCATTACAAGGAACATAATCATTATGGAAATAACAGTATCATTACAGAGATATCTGTAGGTGGATTCGAATTTCCTTATTTATGTTCGTTCACTCCAGTATGGTTGTTTGACAATTTGTTTTGGATTCTATCCGTTCCACGTCAGGTGAAAGATACTTACATTTACAAGATATTCTTTCTGGCAACACCAATTGGTAAGCTCGACCACGACTACTATGTCCGTGTTACAATACAAAATGGGGATTTTCTTGTAACTAGCACACTGAAAGCCATCGCTGAAAAGTCATCATTTAATGCCGAGAAGGCATTCAATTACGTTATGGAAATGGAGATACTATTTTCTCATGAAATAGAAAAATTGTGTATGACAATTCCATATAGGCAAATAAAAAATTGGAAATCCATAACAATGAAGGATGAAGAAATTAAACTGTTTTTCTTCAAAACGGCAAAAGAGTGAAGGCATGAGAGAGATTTTAGTGTATTTCAGGTGAGGCTTATCATTAACAAAATCTTTGTAAATGTTAGAAACAATCAATCAACACATTTCTAAGCAGAGTAAGGAGGAAATTTAAACTAATACTGTGTATTAAACATAATTGTAAA